CACCGGCAGGAACCTCCCCCCCCCCGCATCACTTTTCTAATGGTCCGCCCCTAAACAGGCTTGATACAACCGGTCCTTGGATGATGGCTGCCCATAGTGGGACTTGCATTTTAGAGATTCAAGTTGCAAAACTTCAATGTAACCAGTGTCCTGCGGCTGTTTAACATTTGCTGCGATTTATAAAAATGGCTGATTCTGAAGAGGTCTAACGACGAAACTAGTAAACCGCCAATTAATACAACGAGTGTCGAAAGGGATTTTTAGAACTTTTAGGGACCGTTCATTATTTATACCTGGGGTTGGTACCGAAGAGAAAAACACTGTAAATCTTTTATTAACCCAAACTCAACAATGGTCAAAATAATGTTTACCCAACCCATGTGTTACGTACTGTACTTCATAATAATTGAATACACAAGATTATGGTGACCAAAATCAAGTTGCCTAAATTCTAAAAGCTCACTCACACTCAAACTCACTGAGTGTGCCAAAGCAATCACGTTTCTGCTGATCAATAATAGAGTCCTTCCTCAATCACTGATGGTCTATTTTGGTACAGAATGTATTGTACACATTTTTCTTCATATTTTCCAATGTATGATAATTTTGATTTTATTTTATTTATATAGCTGACAAACATCCATAATTTTTTTTACCCAACCCTTGAGCTAGTCAAAAACTTGATTACCCAACCCATATCTTTTCGGTACCAACCCCGGGTATCAATAATGAACGATTCCTTAGTATTTTAAACGTTTACTAAAACTGTCTGTACCAGTGTAGGTAGTACCAATGTAAAAATGCTGTGCTGAGTGGTTATATTACTACCTTAAAAAATAAGCAGAAACTCGACGTTTCGAGCGAAGGCCCTTCGTCAACCCTGCTACTAATTCTTGACGAAGGGCCTTCGCTCGAAACGTCGAGTTTCTGCTTATTTTTTAAAGTAGTAATATAACCACTCAGCACAGCATTTTTAAACGTTTAGCATTTTAACATTTTATTACGCTTTTTAAGTGATGCTTAGCAAACCTTTCTTGGCTAAAATTCGCGAAATTTCAATATATTGTGTAAAAATATCCGTATTTTGATATTTTTGTTAAAGGGTCATGTCCGGTTTGCAACAAAAGAAGCCTGTGATAAAGTTGTGGAAACGTTTTCAACAACAAATGGTTCCATGGAAAATATCAAAATTGAAAAGTTGACAGGTTGGTAGCCTTTTTCCGAGATTTTTCCGGATTTAGATCCTTGATTTTACTGAAAAAGTCCTCGAAAGTCCTTGAATTTCAGTCTACCTGGCTTTCACCTCTGTAACTCATAACTATTTTTACAAAACACTATACCATCAGGGCAAGTAAAAAAGTAAGGGACCGGTCATAAAGTAACTGCCAGGGTGGGCTGGAGTGATTTGGGATGGGCATGGAAAATCTTTGGGCAGTTTTGATGGGCCGTCAATTTTTTTGCATGTCCACTGTTGGGTCACCAAACAAAAACCCATGCATGTCTACTTCAAGAAATATTAATAGTAAAAGTAAGCAAAACTATCCAAATTATCAAATCCAAATGATGCTATTGAAGCCAGTCCTTTGTTTATACAACAACAACAACAACAACAACAACAACAACAACAACAAGTGGTCGAATCACAGCAAATATACAATCGACTGGAAAGCAGCTCAGTATCAATGTGTTGGTCAAGCTTGGTGGAATTATGTATGTCAATACAGTGCCATGTATATTTACAATGTTCATACCTGCAAGTTTTTTTTATTATAAAAGTGTATTTTCCAAATTTAGAATGGGTGGGTCATGAAAAATTTTTTGTAAGATGGGCTTTGAAATTTTTATCTACACCCTAAGATGGGTCACCGAATTTATTGGCAAAATTTGTGATTTACCTCCAGCCCACCCTAGCAGTTACTTTATGACCAGTCCCTAAAAAGAATAAAAAAAAACTCATGTGGAAAGAGTAAAAATCAACGCTCTGCCGAAAGTCGTGGGTTTTCCCCGGGTACTCCGGTTTCCTCCCACAGGGAAAGTTGACAGGCTGGGTTAGGTAAAAGGGCCCACAGTAATTGGCATATGCTGTTGTGGTGACCCTGCCCTAGTTGGCAAAGCTAAATAAATAAATAAAAGTTGGACATGAAAATTGGTTGCCCGAAATAAAATTCACTTGCCATCTGGTCTAGTTTAGCCCTCACGTATATTAACAAAATTTGAAGCAAATGATTGCAGAAAGAGTTTTTTGAATCACCATTCTAATCTTATATTTTCCTTTACAAATTCAATTGAAGACTTAAACATGAAGTATTGATTTAAGCTGCAGATTTATAACAGAGTGCATAACATAAATATGCAAGCAAACAATTTAGTGTGGAAAGCAGTTTCTGACAAAACTTGCCCGATCGGGCCAGCAAGAATCAACTTCTACTGTACTTGTCCGAAATAATTTTTTTCTTGCCACTTAAAGTTACACCAGTGTTACCCAGGTTTTTACTTTATCTTGCAGTAACGCCTGTATTCTAAAAGCTCACACTCAAAGAGTGGAGGTTCAATCTGAGCTTTTCTTGAGTGTCAATGCTGTTTATGACTAGCTGGTGGGTGAGTAGTCACATAGTAAGGTACGACACTAGCCCTTCAGCTATTCAAAAACAGCACTGACACTCGAGAGAAGCTCAGATTGAACTTCTACTCATTGAGTGTGAGTGAGCTTTTAGAATACGGGCGTAAGACTTGATCGATAATGGGTGGCCCTTAGGGAAAACAGCTTAGAGCTATTGAGTGTAGAGAGTTTAAAGTGAGACTAACCACAAATACAATTTTTGGAATGTGTAATATTTGGGTCATCCGAAGACGAAATGTAATATATCTTTATAACAAAGTCAAAGTTTGTATCTTTATGTCAAAGTTTGTATCTTTATGTCAAAGTTTCCGGATATGATGTCATTAGGTGAATTGCAAAATAGTTTTCCTTTGTTTTTTTGTATCAAAAATTCACCTAATGACATCATATCTGGAAACTTTGAGAGTGAAAAAGTTGATCAAGATGAGGTTTTTTACTATAGAGAGATATTACATTTCTTCTCAGAATGACCCAAATATTACACGTACCAAAAATTATAGTTGGGGTTAGTCACACTTTATATTTAAGTCATTTGTTTTCAGAAAAAGAAGACGCGGATTACTGGGAACGATTAAATAGCGATCGTCTTGAAAGATTTCAACAAGGAAAGAAACGGAATAGGAATAAAAGAGGAAGGCAAAAGGTGGGAGATTATTGACCAAGATTTCAATTCCTGAAATATATGGTTAGCACTTTTTTCCATCCAGCAAACCGCCCTATCGATTTTCTAAAGTCGTTTCTTTTCGGATTTTTTTTATTAATTCGATTAGGGTTGAGGTTAGGGTCAGGGGTTAGAGTAGGGTTTGGGTTAGTTACATAGCCATTTAACACCTCTTCTATCTTCCGAAAATGACGTCAGGTCAGTTTGCTGGATGGAAAATAGTGCTAACCGAAATATATCCATTATATGAGGTTGCCAGATTTTAATTCCCAGTATAGAGTCAAACTAGAATGCTTCTCCCACCTCAGACGCATGGGAGGAAAAGGATTCCAGCTTCACCCTACCAAACACAAACGGTTGTCCTTACGTGTCCTTAAATGGATGGTTCCAGCTATAGATGGAATTTTGATCTAGACAAGAATTTTGATCTATCCATTATCATATAGCTGGAAAGAGCATGTTAAAATGAGTAACATTGCAAAGTTTGCTTGCGAATTGTTGTAAATAAGGACAATATATACCCATGAAGTTCGCAAATTTTGTATATATTTGCATTACGCGCGGGAAAAATAACCATACATACAAAGTTGCGAACTTCACAGGGCTAGATTTTTCTTCATTTTACAACATTTAGCAACCACTCTTTGCAGTTTTACCCATTCTAAGACGCTCTTTCTAGCTGTGGTGTTGGATTTCGTTCGTCTTGTCTTGATCAAAATTTAGTCTGTACATAGCTGGGATCACCCATTTTTCTTTCTTTCAAAAACTTTAGATTACGAAGAAAATGGACGAACGAAATGCAAGGAAACGAGATCATATTCATTTTGAGAACTGAAAGACTCTGGTTATGCAGGTCAGATTAAAACTTTTTAACTTCCAGTAACACTTTTCAGTACAACCAGTAGGGCATTGAAAGGTGTGTAGAAAGACTGATTGCACGTAAATAAGAAATAACGCAGGATACAGAGTTTTATATTAGACTGAAATTGCTTTAAGGAATTAGGTAAACGTATTTACATTAATTTTTCAAAATTCAACTTTAAAATTTTACACGCGCAAAAACGCACAAGTTTATAATTGTCAGAAAACATTGGTGGGTGTTTTGCGATGTGCAAATGGTGCAATTATTACGTTTCATCATTGAGTATGACTTTCGTTCTCGCTCTTTCCGTTCCTATTTGCATTTCTTGTTGGTTTTTTGCGAAAGCAATCTTTTCCTTTCGTCCATGGCTGCAAATCTTTGCATGTTTCGTTCCTTCTGTGAAAAATGGACGAGTATGTTGTGCTGGCACAAAGCTAGGGTGTTCTTTTCACCAGAATCCTAATCCTTTTTATTACAGCCAGATGAACCCCATCGCTGTTTCTTCATTCTGTTCTTAGCAGGAAATTTTGAGTTTCGATCTTTTCCTAATTCTGGTAGTTTGTAATTTAAGTTTATAACTGTTGGCTCGATAGGACGTTTACACGCATTATTTCTAAAGCTTCTTGCAAAGCTGCTTGGGTATAATATATGTTGAGAGGAAGCTTCTGAAATGCTTGTCTTTTCGTTGTTTGTACGATCAAAATAGGGCGAAGGTACAAGGACACGTTTGTTCGTCTTCTGTGATGTTGCATTTTCTCTAAAAGATTGATAAAGACAGAGTTAAAGATTCAATTCCTTGTGAAGATATTTTGTTAAAATTCCCTGGCGGCACTTCCTTGGAAAGGCATAAAACACACAATTCATTTTGGTATTATTAATATATTAATTACCTGTTTCTACATGGTTGGTCAACTGTTGTCCGCTGTCCAGGCTCTTGGTTTTTGGCTGTGAGTCTTCTTGTCTGCTGTGGGTATCTATAGTATATGAATTGAAACAAATTGTCTTTACCAATGAAAACTATGTACATATGTACAGTATATACTTTATATATACACAATAATAATACAAACTTACTGTAAGATAACAGTACTTATCACATACATGTACCTGTGCAATGGTGAACTGTTTTGAACAAACACAAATTTTTGAGAGATTTTCTTTTTCGAAACCAATGTTTGAAGAGTAGATACATTTCCCTAATGAACAAAGCGGAATTTTAAATGTCATTACAATAACTATACATTTCTAACTGTATATTTCTAATTAGAAAAGAACAATGCAATTCTAGGATTTCTTGCCTTGCAAATTCTGTGATATATGTCCTTCAGATCTGTTAAGTCAGAGTTTGTAATGAGTTGATCCAGTGCATGATCAACGTTATTGTTTTGTTGCCGTAAGCCTGTTGTGTCAACTGTGTAAAATCTTGGAGCTTGTCTACAGAAATTAAAAAGAATGAATGAGGTCAGACTTAAAATGCCTTGGCAAGGAAACACTGTACAAAGCGAAGCTTAAAATGTTTACCTAGTTTTAAAAGTCTTCTCAGTTAGAGTTGGTGGCAAAGAGAAGCTAGCATCTTCTTCGTTTCTTATCTGTAAAATAAGTAATATTGAGATTTGGTAGTTTAATAGATATATTAATTGCAGCCTTAGTCATTTTATTGAAAAATAGTTGATTCATGATTTTTTTCCAAAATCCCAAAACAACTGATCATTAGAAAATATGTTCTGACCAGATGTGGTTTGCAATGGTGCTTGGATAGATGTAGATGAAGGGTTCTCGAACTAGATCATAATAAATTAAAAACTTCTTTGTACCTTTGTCCTTGTTGTGCTAGCCATTGAATGTTCCTTGAAACTACCATACAGATACAAAGAATTACCCTAAATATTTATAATATGATGGTCATTTTTACTGGTACTTTTGCCACAGATTAGCTAGAAGTTGAACAACTTTTGTTCGATAGAACAGAATATTGAAGGGGTTTTGTAAATAGAAATGTTGACATTATTATACAAATGTAAGACCTAACCAGGAGAACATAGGTGGCAGAATGGGGGGGGGGGGGCAAAAAAAAACCCCCCCCCAAAAAAACAGAATAAGATTCCAAATTTTATATAGTTATACAAAGTTTATATATAAAATTCAGGAAAGACGAAAGAAAACTGGTACATGTATTCAAAATATCATGTAGGAAATCTGTTAGGACTACGGAAAATTTTTTGCCCCCATCGCCAACATTTCTGTGGAATTTTTTTTGTATATTTTGGACAATTTATAGGAATTAGCCCCCCTTTCCCCAAAATTAAAAACTGTTCTGCCACCACTGCAGGTGCAAAAAAATGCATCTATATGCCCTCTGCATGGTAATCAACAGAGTCTCTTTTCCACAAGTTCATGTGTATAAAATGGGTGCTGCCAATGTATGATGTATAAGGGAACTGTAAATATTCTTCCAAACACTTAATCCAAGGTGTATTTCTCTCAGGAAAGTACTGTATTTACCTTTGTGTTTTTCGAGTTGGTAAGGATATTTGCCACAATTCCCCTTGGTGGAAAAGAATGCGTAATTCTCATTGGAACTACTGGTGTGGCATTGTCTGTTATCATTGTACCGTTGTGCAAACTTGTCATCAATCACTGCAAAAGTTTTACCCATTCAGCCTGGATTCATACCAATGCAACCCAGGGATGGAAATAAGGGAAACGAATTTGACCGGTAATTTTTAAAAATTTGACAAGGCGAAATATTTGACCGGTGTTTTTTTAAAAGCAAAAAATCATGGCATCATCAGTGGTGATTGGGGAGCTGCATTAGAAATCCCTACTGCCTCCTCCTCCTCAAGTCCTATGGACTATCACTATCAATAATCGTTCAAGACACTTATTAAAAAATCAATATGACTGTAATGAAACCCTTGTTAAAATTAATCGATTTGGTATGTACTGTACATAATTCCGTTTAATTCCCTGAGACTCGTAATGACCAAACTTCTTTATTTCTATGCAATTTTCCAGAAACCTGTTTGCGATTACTTTACTATTGACATATCTATTTGGCCGGTGATTTATCTAAATTTGGCCGGTAATTACTGGTCACCGGCCGTTATTTCCATCCCTGCAACCCATTCTGATCCTTACTCGGTCTGTCTAAGGTTATGTGCTCAACCGACTTTGCCTGCCTGCCTAGCTACTCCTCCATACCTATTCTGCCTACCTATACTTACATTACCTTATCTTACTTCTACTTACCCATCCTCGTTCTCCCAGGGCCTCTCGGCCTTGCGCGACCCTCATAGGCCATGGTACACAGAACCAGAAGTGCAACAAACTTGCAGTAGTTTCTAAAGTGCATACTCTTGAATTGGGACGCTTTAGCACCCATACCAATTTTCACAGAGAAATATTACGAAGAAACAAAGTATTTGTGTTGACATATTCACAGCCTCCTATCTACCTAGTACCTACCTGTCTGCCATCCTACCTACCATTCTACCTACTGGTAACCTATCTACTTACCTACTTACATCACTAGGAGTATTGTATTTACAGCGTAAAAGTGATCAAACTAAAACTATTTAAGAGTATTTACATGAGATTATAAATTATAATAGCACCATGCGAGATTACCTTGTTTATATTTATACTCATCGAAGATTAAATGCATTAATACTGTTAATACTGTATGATGTTCCACTTCAAATAGTCACTCCACCATCTCGCAAGCAGAAATTAATACCAATGAATACACCAGCATAGATTTCGTTTTGCCGTAATCATTATTTCCACTATAAATCTATAATCCATCGAATGACTTCTAATTGTCACTTAGAAACACAATTTGATCGCAAAATTTGTTTATCAAAGCGCGTGACGTCACGGTTGCCTAGGCAACGAGCTGTGGAATGTTGCAAATTAGTCATGAAATCTATCATGTTGATTTCATGAAATTAATGCAATAAATGGCATGTAATTTGTGTTCAAAAAACTTGCCAAAAACTGCTTCTAGCTTTTATAAAACTTTTGCAGGAATAACACCAGACTACACTATCGTATTCTAGCGTATACCATAATCCATATTGTATATTTATCCGCTAAATACCGGCAAAAATAACCCTATTTACATCTACGGTCGAAATAATCAAGCTGAATAATGCATTCTGATTGGCTAAAACACAGACTTGTTGCTTCCCGCATCAAACCGGTCGCTACTTTGTAAAGCCGATACTCCGATAGCCTTTTGGCGCAAGAAAAAACACTGCTCTCTTGAGAAAAATTTAAGAGCGAACTAAGAATGCTTCGCAGCATTAAAACCGAAGACACGGGCATGGAATTTATCGAGCAAACCGGACCGCCACAGGTAAGCGCGGAACTAGAATATTTTTGTATCAATTGCCACTTTATTCTTTGTGTATTATTGTAACATTTTCCGAACGTTCGTAACTCACACCCCCTTTTCTTGTTCCCGCCCCCTGTCTATCTTACGTCAAGGAAACCTCGAAGTCTCCTCTGGTTTTGCTGGCAGCAACGTGTAGTAAAATTGGCCAGGAAGAACAGCCGTCGTCAAGTGAGCTTAGCGAACAGCTCGCCTTCTTCTTCGAATATAATATATTCAGCGTTAAGCCAAGCCGAAGGGGCAAGCATTGAAGCGACTCAAGCTCAGTCTGAACAGCAATGGACAACAACAACAGCAGGAAATACTTATGCGGTTAATTCTGTCATGTGGCAGGGAAAAACGGATGCCTGGGCTGCATCACAAAATGAAATAACTAGCCAACAATCGGTCAGCCAATATCATAACATCTCAGCAACCGAGGCATCTCATTTGAACAGTGTTGTCCTGCCCAATAATAACCAGTTTACTGTTTCGATGCCTCTGCCACAAACCACCAACAACCAGGGGGTCGGACAGCTGATTAACCAGCAACCGATGGTCACCATGAACAACACATCTCAAGCTTCTATTGTCCTCAATGATACAACTGCCAATAACAGCATGATCGATTGGGTGCAAAATAATTCCGTTATGGTCCCAACTACGGAGGTTCAGATGGCCCCTAGCCAAGATTCAAAAGATCTTGGCAACCCTCAAGACACGATCACCCCTATAGACGGTAACGGAAACCCAATAGCCCGTAGAGTCCGTCGGGTAGCCTGCACTTGTCCAAACTGTCGGGATGGTGAAGGGCGAATGGCAAATGGCAAGAAAATTCATATATGCCACATTGAAGGCTGTGGAAAAGTTTACGGAAAGACTTCGCATCTCCGAGCACATCTTCGATGGCACAGTGGTGAAAGACCTTTTGTTTGCAAGTGGTTGTTTTGCGGAAAGCGGTTTACGAGGTCCGATGAACTTCAGCGGCACCTACGAACCCACACGGGGGAAAAGAAATTCGCTTGCGAACAGTGCGGAAAGCGATTTATGCGAAGCGACCATTTGTCAAAGCATGTAAAAACCCATGGGAATGCAGCAAGGAGGACATCATCCCAGACAAGCAGAATGGTCGATGTCTCTGTTCAGAGTGATACCATTTTACAAACAGCTAATGCAAATGATCTTACCCAAGTGCAAGTCTTGAACGCTCTTGAAAATGTGTCACAGCAGCCGTTGTCACAGGCAGGGGAAGTGATAACTACCCCTCAACAACAAGAAACAGCTCAGCAACAACTGCCGACCTCGCAAGAGGTTACCATTATGCAACTAACCCAGCAGCAACCAAACGTGCAACAGGGACAGACTCGAATACAAGCGCTCGTACAACCGCAACAAGCAACACAACAGCAAGTAGAGTTAACCCAACAACAAATTCAGTTAGTGCAACAACAGCAAGCACAAACTATTACTCTTAATGATGGGACAGTTCTTCAAATTCAATGTACTCCTGCAGAAGCTGCATTGTTAACATAACTATCATGGCCTTTAGTGTATTTATATACAAGGTATAATAATTAGTCCATGTACACAAATGTAACAATAACTGGTACTTTTGTTTAGAATAATTTATATTCTGGTCCTGTTTATATTTATTGTTTGAAATAGAGGGTTCACAATACACTTTTTCAGGGTTTGCGGCACTATCTTGCCAATTGAAGTGTGGCAAACACAAGTATTCCCACTGGGACGAGGCAATGATTTTACCACTGTGTTTACCCTACCTAACCTTGCAAGATGGCATTGTGAAGGCATATAGGTTTTGAAAAATGTGATGAAATTTATTTTAGAAGAAAGGATAATGGCCGGGATTGGGTTATAAGAAGTTACAGAATGTCAATCCTTGTCATATTGTAATGTTAAAGTATTTTTGTAAATGTTATGTAATTTCTAAAAAACAAGTTCATATTTTGTTCAGTTTTTATGAGTTTGGTTAATATATACACTATGGTGTGTATGATCGAGAAGGGTTGTCAACTAGCAGTTGTCAGGGTGAGAAAATATATTAATTATTTCATATAATATGTAGTAGTGTTGTATCTGAAGGCAAATAATTTAAAGAAATAATTTTTTGTACCTATCAGTGTCAAAATTTCCAGATGAAGTTTTTGGCACTTCTGGTAGTAGAATTAGTGAGAGCAATTATTAGTGATTACACCTCGGAAATGATGGGTTTGATTTTCATTCTGAAATCAAGATATTCAATCACTTATTTTGGTCTATATCCAATGTACAAAGCAAGTTGACCAAGCACTTTGAGCAGTTCTGAAAGTTAAAAAAGAGAGTAAAGCAATGAAGTATGACTTGCCCAAGCATGGTTAACAGGATGCATTGGCAGACAGTGTCACCCATAGAGTGGCAGCACTCGCCTTGACAAGTGAAATCATCTGACATTTGACGGAGTAAAATCATAAAGCAAGGCCAGCTAGGCTGCACTTTGGTGAAAAAAAACAACATTTTTTCCAAGTGCCAACACAATGCAAGAAATGCCATTTCAGAGACCCCAATTATTTGGGGAAGCATGCACCCCTAGAATTGTGACTTGTGGTTTTTAAGTTGCCCCTGCCCCCAAATAAAATCCTGGCAGTTCAGTTGTGGTTGCAAATTGGATGCATAAAAGTAAATTTACAACCACACATCATGCCACCACAGAATAGACTCGATAGAACTCTACTCCAAACACCAACTCTGACCCTAATCCTTACCCTAACCTAACCCTACTACAAATTCGTTTCTAAACCAATCCTGAAGAAAAAAGTTTTGACGAAATGTCATTCTGAGGTCAGCATGGGCGTACCGGGGGGCGGCAGTCCCCCTCCCCCCCAGTTTGTTGGGCAAACAAAGCCAGTCAGGCAATATTCGCTCCACAGTCTGGCAATATTGGCTTATAAAAATAAATGGGACAAATTTTGTGGGAAATTCTGTCTGTCAATTTCGTGATTTTTGTGATGTTCCTCATAAGTGCACTGGCTAGGACCATGGTAGCAGCAGTTACTGTACTCTTTTTTGGCTGAGTTAGCCGCAGGCTCATGATGGCTGAGTCGACCACACCAACACCAGAAAGGCAGAAACCACCAATGAGGCAATAGTCCAGTGTGTTACATTGAGGTCATTTTCGACATTGTACATTCTTGTGGTGTTTTACATAAAGTATTTCTAACAAAACACGTGTTGTATAAAAAATAAAAAAGGTGTGAGAATATTTTTGTAAAAAAATATCAAAATTATGGTTTGGGAAGAAGTCGAAACAGCAAAGGAAGAGAAAAGATACGAGCTAGTTCTACATGGAACTGAAATCTCCGAAAGAGTAACTTCTAGTGGTTTGGATGAAACTATATTCACCTTGACAAATCTCAATTTTCTGCAAATATCTCAAACTGAACTGTCAGAACTGCCCGAAGCGCTTCGTCAACTTGTGAACCTTCGTACGTTGGATTTACACCAGAATAAGCTGTCTAAACTACCGTCTTGTGTCGGAGAGCTCGCAGAATTGAAGTTTTTTGATATTTCTGGTAATGTATTGTCCGAATTGCCCGTACAGTTGGGCGAATTGACCAACCTACATACCCTGAATTTGAGCTGCAATAAGTTAAATTGTCTGCCATCTTTTGAAAAGCTTATTCATCTATCAAAATTTGATTGCTCCCACAATAAATTGGTAAGCCTGCCAGATGGGGTTCACAAATTGCAAACTCTGTATGAGCTCCGTGCCTCGAACAATATAATCGAATCTATCTCTGCGGAAATTTCCCATAACGTAGCTTTGAAAGTGTTGGACCTTTCTCATAATAAGCTCAAAGCCCTACCAGCAGAGCTTGCTGACTGCCACAAATTGAAAGAACTGACGTTGTTGGAAAACCCGATTGGGGATAACCGTTTGAAAAAGCTTATTGCACAGTGCCCAACGAAGTCCGTCCTCGATTACGTTCGAAATACAAGCGGCAAGACCAAAGGAAAGGGTAAAAAGGGAAAGAAACATAGTTCTAAAAGTGACGGGGATAAGGCTGACGAGGACCCACAGTTCGTTATTAAAGTGGAAAGGAGTGATGAGTACAAGGTTGTGATAAAACAGAGTGTCACTGATGTCCGACCGTATGTTGTGTGTGCTATCGCAAAGCAAATTGACCTGGGTCAGCCTGAAACGTTCAAGAAATTTATTAATATGCAGGTATTATGAAAAGATTACTTACTAATATAATTAGTTTAAAGATAAAGAGCAGAGCCCAGCAAATAACTTTAAATCCAAACATAATAAAAGGAAAAATTGTTATTAGCTAACGTTTCATTGTTTACAATACAACGTCAGTTCAGAGCAATCTAAATGAATTTACAGGGTATGGTATATATATTTACAAAATAATGGTTTAATATTACAAAAACGGTTACATCAATAACTAGTTAATAAGTAAAGATAAGTGTTAGACAGACTAAGTATAGTTAAGGTTAATATTATATAACTAATAAAATGTCCTTTGTACCATCTGAAATTCAGGATGGCATCAAATGTCACTGTTTATTTGTTAACCCATTGAGTGTATTTCGGGCAAAAATTAAGAAAAGTGCCACGTTATAGGTGACCTGCCGTATTTGTGCTTGAATATTTTTTGTGTATTGGAAAATCAATCATTTCAATATAACAAGTTGTATTCACAACTGAAATATGGAATACTGGTCAGAGTTTTCTTCAAGGTTATGCAGGACATTTTATTTGACAAAATTTATTTTTCAGACAAAACTTCATGAATCTGCTTGTGATCATCGAGCTGTGGCAACCATTGCAACCCACTGCATGACGTCGCTTTCATTTCCACTTGTTTACGAAGCCTTGCCAGTGGATGAAATCAGTCTGGTCCCTTTGGGAAAGAATAAAACATTCACGGCAACCGAATTGGTCAATGATTTGAAGGCAACTGCCACTAAAGAAAAGCAAAGAACAAAACGTCAGGCAAAATCAGGGCTTTTAAAGTAAGTATTGTAACTACGAACAATTAAGGTCTAAAATTGCAGTGTCCTAATATCCGCAGGATAGTAAAATTTGGTTTTAGATACCGAACTGTGAATGACAATATATCCCAGCTGGACAAATTTTCAAACATTGGGATAATGCTAAAATTGTGTCCTGTGGTGTTTCAATACAGTATGCATCTGCTGTCTTGAAAATAACCAGTCTTTCATTTCTGACTTAGTGGTTTAGTTAACAAAGTGGAAAGCCACACAACTTTTTTACACAGTATTTTTCAATTCAATTCAATTTATTTACTACTTTCAGTTATTTACATTGATTATTGTAATAATATTTAGGTATATATTTATATTTATGTATGTCAAATTGAAAGTGGCGAGAAGACCTCAGGAAGTCAAAGACTTGTATTAAGAGGCCATCTCATTGTTTTTCAGAACAAAGTTTTTTTTTGTTTTTTTTTTATTTTGTTGTTTATGAGTGAAGCTCCTATTGAATTGTACATGCACTAATTGTTTTCAATCAAATATTTTTTCAATTTTCTTTTGAAAGAAGAAGTGATATTTATTCCTGTTATTGATGAAGGAAGACAATTCCATATTTTCGGACCCTGATGTAGGATAGCGAATTGTTTTATGTTAGTTCGACATGCATGCATGAGACCTATATTTGGCCGCAGCTCTAGTATTATGATCTTGAACTTGATTGTTCGAAATAAATAAGTTGTCAAAACATTCAGGTAATAAATCATGACTATAAATATACATAAATATACCTATACAATGAGTATTTAGTTTGAAGATATCTAATATATTTAATTTTTTGAAAAGTGGAGCAGAATGAGGAACGGTAATCTGAGTTAGTCATTGCTCTAACAACTCGCTTTTGCAAATTTCATATGTTGAAGACCAGACTATATATATTACAATATGTTAGATAAGGGTATATTAAACTATAATATAAGGAAAGTTTTGTAACCAATGATAAGAGAAATTGTGAGCGATAGATTATTCCAACAGATTTTGATATTTTCTTACTAATATAATTTATGTGGATTTTCCATGACAAATTTTTATCTAAATATACACCTAAGAATTTTATATGCCGTTTTTGAACAAGAATTTGGTTATCATATTTGAGAACTAAATTGGGGCTTAGTTTTTTTTTACTAGGATGAAAAATTAAATAATTTGATTTGCTTATATTTACAGATAATTTGTTTGATTTCATCCAGATATCAAGGTTTTGAAGCTCACTGTTTAGGGTTGCCTCAAGTTGCTTGATATCAGAATGTGAATAGTATATAGTAGTATCATCTGCAAACAAAGACGAAGTAGCTTGCTTTAAGGCTTTTTGGAGATCGTTTACAGACAAAATAAAAAGAAGTGGACCCAAAATGGATCCCTGGGGAACTCCACATGTTATTTCATAAAACTCAGAGCAATATCTTTAATTTGAACAAACTGTTTACGGTTTGATAAGTCACTTTTTGATCCATTGCAAGGCGACACCTCGAACACCATAGTGCTCTAATTTTGAAAAGCTAAATGGCCCCCGATCAATATCCGATGCAATATTATTGGTTAGAGAAATTAACAAATGACAAGTTGAGTGCTTTCTTCGAAATCCAAATTGGAGACTATATAAAATTTCATGTATTTTGAAAAGTTGCTTAAGAGTGATATAGGTCTATAGTTTGTGAAAGAATTTTGTTCTCCTGATTTGAAAACTGGAATAACTTTAGCATAATGTGGGAAGAATACATATATACTAAAGCTGTCTAGCTGTACCAGTGTAGGTAGTACCATTATGTAGAAATGCTGTGCTGAATGGTTATATTACTATTAACTCTGCTGAATGGTTATATTACTATTACTACTAACTCTTGACGAAGGGCCTTCACTCGAAACGTTGAGTTTCTGCTTATTTTTTACTGTCGTTCCAATTGAAGTGTTGCTCAAATATTGATTCAATACATTACCTCGGGCTGACCAATTCATTTGATCAAGTTCCTCGAGATATTCATACACTTCCTGTGAAAGAGCCATGTCCTCACCGGCAGGAACCTTGTCCTCACCGGCAGGAACCTTGTCCTTACCGGCAGGAACCTTGTCCTCACCGGCAGGAACCTTGTCCTCACCGCCAGGAACCTTGTCCTCACCGCCAGGAACCTTGTCCTCACCGCCAGGAACCTTGTCCTCACCGCCAGTAACCTTGTCCTCACTGCCAGGAACATTGTCCTCACCACCAGGAACCTTGCCCTCACCACCAGGAACCTTGTCCCCACCGCCAGGAACATTGTCCCCACCGCCAGGAACATTGTCCCCACCGCCAGGAACATTGTCCCCACCGCCAGGAACCTTGTCCTCACCGCCAGGAACCTTGTCCTCACCGCCAGGAACCTTGTCCTCACATTAGATTTTATTTACTTGGTTGTAATTTGTTGTTTCTCTTCATAGATTTCATCAAATTGCATTGATATCCTAATTGAAGTGACGTCACCTTGTGATCTGAATATCTGTAAGAATGTGATGGATGAACTCATAAAAAGAATGTTTGAAACTGGAATGTATTCACATGTTGAGGAGAAAGAGCAAGATTCAGGTACTTTTTAAGACAATTTCACTTGTCGAGGGGAGAGTGCGCCAACTCGTTGGGTTTACCAGTCAGATTATTTACCCAGGGGGTTTCTCATAGGGGGTGAATGCGAAAGACTGTGTGGGAGTCGGGTGATAAAGGAGTGTGTGGGGGTGTGGTCTACCAACTGAGCTACGCGGTCAGGTGGGTTCGAGTATGTAATATTTCGGAACTGAGCCTAGTTCCTTTGATATCAGCTAGTGTAATCTAATAATCATAGATTGCATTGATATTGAAGGAACTAGGCTCAGTTCCAAAATATTACATACTCGAACTGACATGACCACGTAGCTCAGTTGGTAGAGCATTGTGCTAGTATTCCAAAGGTTGTAGGTTTGATTCCCACCGTGGTCAGGCATATATTTTTCAAGCCTGCCCAGTGTGGATATACACTCAGAGTAACATCACAAGCAAAATCATTTATGTCATTGGAAATTACAGTTACCACTTTCCAAACATAACTAGTTACAGCTACTTGTAAATAATGATTACTCGCTTATTCTGACTTTTATATTTACAGCAAAGAAAGAGCTGGTTTTGGTACAAGTACGTACAACAGATGACGAAGGAAGTGTTAAAGTTGTCTATCCATCAAAAACTGATTTATCTTATGAAGGTATTCCAGTACAATTTAGTGAAAAATGAACTTGTTCCTATAACACTCAAATGAACTGCAGCTGGTTATTCAAAAGTCGGTTAACTTAATCCTGGGTTAACATTTAATTTGAAGCAAAATTCCCAACAGCTTCTTAATAAAAGCAGAAACTTTTTTGTAGAAACATTGTCTGGATCTTCAGAAATTTAGTTTTCTAAATATCTGACATAAACAGACGTGCATAAATACATAAACCAAAACCATGGGTTAAATTTTAACACAGGGTTAGCGCTAATCGTGGTTTTTTGAACAACCCTTTACCTGATCATTGTTGTATTGTTAAGTGTTAATACACTAGATTGTAAAACAATCATCTCAAAGCACAATATTCTGGATGTTATGGTTTGAAACATTATAGACTTTGAGAAAAAAATGGCCAAAACGTAAAGGCTAACCCCTTAATATTTCTTTGAAAAAAAGTTAAGGCTAACAACCCCTTTACTTTTTCACCATTTGTAGTCGTCACTTTTTGAAAAATTCAAAACATGGCAAAAATTTGGCCGAAAAGTTAAGCATTTTTTTAAAATAAAGCTTTATTTGCATGACCTAATTACAGGTATTGCTAAGTGTTATAAAGTTAAAAGTTAACTGGTATAAAAACTACTTTGAATTCACTAATGAAAAACAACGATATACTGCCATTTACATGTATGATATTAAATGTAAAAAGAGCATATAAAATAGGAGAGAGATACTGTATGACAAATACAAATATCACAATTTAAGAACAGAAAGGATTAGAAAGAGTATAATATTAAATATAAAAAAGGGAAAGTAATATAATATAATATAATCGTCATGGTCATGCATTTGAGTAAATAATTATTATTATTAGCTTTAACTTTTCGTCCATTTTTAGCCACTTTTTTCATTTCAGAAAAAGGGGGAGGGGGGGGGGGGAATTGGCAAAAAAGTAAGACTAAACCTTATATAGTAGGATGACTAAACTGGTTGGAAATGGTATCGATAGTAAGGGTGCAAATGGTACCCGTAAGAAGATTGATGGATTGCTGAATTTAGACAACAGCAATTGAACTATGTGATACCGAAACTATATACCAATGTGTACAAGCTAATTGAGTCTATCCTTGGACAACCAAACACATTTCTCCAACATGTTGTCATTCTTGGATGCATTAGGTCATTTGGATTTGCAGATGAAGTACTTGAAAGGTCAGTTTTAATTACAGTAGTTGTATCATATTAACTAACTGTTTCTCATCAATCAAAAGTGACTGTTTTTATCAGAGGAATGGTTTTCGTCAATTTTCAGACGTTCCAACTGGGTATAGGGGCATGCCAGTCAGAATATTTTAGTCTGTCGACCACCAGACGATTTTACTTGTCAAGGGGAGAGTGCTGCCCCTCAATATATTAATCAGATGATATCTGCCATTGCATACTGTTGGGAGCATTGGAGCATAATCAGTTAATCTTACTCATTTTAGAAAACAGCCATTGAACTTATGTGACAAAGAAACTACAGTATATAACAATGTGTACAAGCCAATCAAGTATATCCTTGGACCAAACCAAAAACATTTCTCCAACATGTTGTCATTCTTCGATGTGTTAGTTCATTTGGATTTGCAGATGAAGTACTTGAAAGGTCAGTTTTAATTACTTGTATCATACTGTATTAACTAATGACTATTATACACAAATTATATGAAAACTTTTCTCCAATGATTCCCCTATGTTTTCTGAGTCAGTTTCCAAAAATAAAGAAATATGTTCAAATTGTTGTGGATAGGCAAAAAAATTTCTTTCATCAAATTAGGTTTTTTTTTCAGGTTTTTTTTAGGGCTGCCTCAAAAACTCAATCTTGAATTGAGTTTTAAAACTCCAATCTTCTCACCAAAAGTTTCATTGCATTTTTGTGACATGTGGAAATTAGTTTGTGAAATTAAATTTGGAAACCTGACAATTAAGAAAAAAAACTATGCATTTTGCATCTTTATGTTTTAGTTTATAGTTGTTGGAAGTGTCCCTTAGTGCCCCTGCTAAACTTGGCTAAACTCAATCCTCTCATGTCTGTGGTCCCCCTTTGCATTTGACCCGACTTTTTCAAAACTGTTTCTCATCAGTCCAAAGTGAATATTTTTATCATTTTTTAAAAATATTTTTGTTGGGGCATGTCAGAATATTTTACTCTGTCTACAACCAGACAATTTTACTTATCAAGGGGAGTGCTGCCCCCTTAATGGGTTAATCAGACAATATTGCATACTGTTGCTGGATTAATGTCCAAGACTCTTCCCTTGATGAGTAAATTCATTGGCCATTAGTTAGAACACAAAAATAAAGGGAGCATTGGAGCATAATCAGTAAAATCTTACCCATTTTAGAAAACAGCCATTGAACTATGTGACAAAGAAACTACAGTATATAACAATCCTTGGACCAAACCAAAAACATTTCTCCAACAATACATGTTGTCATTCTTCGATGTGTTAGTTCATTTGGATATGCAGATGAAGTACTTGAAAGGTCAGTTTTAATTACTTGTATCATATTAACTAATGACTATTATGCACAAATTATATGAAAACTTTTCTCCAATGATTCCCCTTTGACACTGCCTCCCTGCCTCTATGTTTTCTTAGTCAGTTTCCAAAAATAAAGAAATATGCTCAAATTGTTGTGGATAGGCAAAGCATTTCTTTCATCAAATTAGGTTTTTTCAGGGATTTTTAGGGCCGCCTCAAAAGCTCAATCTTGAATTGAGTTTTGAAACTCAACTTCTCACCAAAAGTTCGTTTCATTGCATTTTTGCGACATGCGGAAATTAGTTTGTGAAATTTAATTTGGAAACCTGACAGTTAAGAGAAAAAAACTATGCATTTTGCATCTTTATGTTTTAGTTTGCCCCTGCTAAACTCAATCCTCTCATGTCTGTGGTCAGGGTCAAATGCAAAGGGTTGCATTTGACCCAACTTTTTCAAAACTGTTTCTCATCAGTTGAAACTGAATATTTTTATCATTTTTTAAAAAAATTTTGTTGGGGCATGTCAGAATATTTTACTCTGTCTACAACCAGACAATTTTACTTATCAAGGGGAGAGTGCTGCCCCCTCAATGGGTTAATCAGACAATATCTGCCATTGCATACTGTTGCTGGATTATTGAATGTTCAAGACTCTTCCTTTGATGAGTAAATTCCCTTACGAAAATTTCCTATAGGAATTCCTATAGGAAATCAAAATTCCTATAGGAATTCCTATAGGAATTGAAAATTCCTATAGGAATTCCTATATGAATTGAAAATTCCTATAGGAATTCCTATAGGAATTGAAAATGGTCAAAGAAATTCCTATAGGAATTGAAATTTCCTATAGGAATTCCTATAGGCATTGTAATTTCCTATAGGAATTCCAATAGGCATTAAATATTCCTATAGGAATTCCTATAGGAATTGAAAATGGTGAAAAAAATTCCTATAGGAAAACATATTCATATAGGAATTCGTATAGGATTGGAAAATGGCTAAAGGAATTCCTATAGGAAATGAAAATTCCTATAGGAATTCCTATAAGATTTGAAAATTCCAATAGGAATTCATATAAGATTTGAAAATGGTGAAAAAAATTCCTATAGGAAATAAAAATTCCTATAGGATTGGAAAATGGTGGAAAAAATTCATAGCCTATACCAATATGGCCTGATACATTCTTATACCCATAAGAACTTTACTTCTATAAAAACACAGAGAAAATATAATTTACGAAATATAAACTCATTCTTCCTATAGGAATTTCTTATAGGAATTTTTTCACCATTTTCAAATCCTATAGGAATTCTTATAGGAATTTTAATTTCTTATACAATTACATTATTCCTATATCGGTCCTACTAACGAATGCCCGGGAACGCCCGGGGAGATTCGTTGAATGCCCGGGAATGCCCGGGAGTTGGGAAAGAATGCCCGGGGAAAATTAAGTTCATAATTACGTTAGTTTATACTAATAAAATCACTTATTTTATGAAAGATGAAATAATTCTTGTAATATATGGCATTGCAAAGTACTGTTCACGGAATGTCCGGCTGTCACAAAAGAATGCCCGGGAGTCGAAAATGTATGCCCGGGGTAAAATTACGCAAGTAATTACGATAGTTAATGATAACATTAACAAGTCTTTTATTTTTTAATGAAAGTTTCTTGTAATATATGGCATTGCAAAAACTATTCACAGAATGCCTGGAGAAAATTACGTACCGCTAATGTCTTTTTCAAATCTACTCAGAATATATCACTATCAGTGAAATATATTTTCGGTAGTGTAAAAAGATGTTTCTTCATTATTATTTAGCATTACAAAGCCAAATAAATAATTTCTGTGAATAGTTTTTGCAATGCCATATATTACAAGAAACTTTCATTGAAAAATAAAAGACTTGTTAATGTTATCATTTATAACTATCGTAATTACTTGCGTAATTTTACCGCGGGCATTCATTTTCGACTCCCGGGCATTCTTTTGTGACAGCCAGAAATTCCGTGAACAGTACTTTGCAATGCCATATATTACAAGAATTATTTAATCTTTCCTAAAATAAGTGATTTTATTAGTATAAACTAACGTAATTATGAACGTAATTTTCCCCGGGCATTCTTTCCCAACTCCCGGGCATTCCCGGGCATTCAACGAATCTCCCCGGGCATTCTTTAGTAGGATCCTCCTATATCGCATTTTATTCATAGACTTTATTGATAAGAGAATTTAATACTGGGACTATTTATTTTCTAAGATTAAATGAATAATTACCGCAATGTGCGCGACTGACAGACTGGTGTCTAGTTTTCTTGTCACGCGCGCAAAGCATCAAGGGATAGATCATCACACCTCCAATATTTTTTCAAAATTTTTATATTTTTGAGTTTGTGAATGTTTATGTTCAAAATATAACTATTTTTGATGAGATTCAACTGGATTTTCACTAGTAATACATCAGCGATGTTTGCATAATGTTCAGGTGAGAATAAGTTCATATTTTGTTTATAATATAGCAAATTATAAAGGAAATACCTCCAATCTTCGTTTGCGAAATTCGACCATGTGCTTCGGTTTAAAGTTTGAATTTGCCGCGACAATATAAATGGAATTAGAATGCTGATATAAATATATTTATAGCATTCATACTTCAACAAATGCTACTATAAAAGTTTTATATTTGAATTAGACTTATCCATGTTTATTGTTTAATATATTTGTATATGCCAAGTGCCAACTGTATATGCCAGATTAATTGGCAGCCATTAATGCATGCCTATTGAAAATTTAACCACTTGCTCAAATCAGCAGCAACCGGAGCGATTGCAGAATACCCGTCCATTTTTTAAGCTATGCCTTTCAAACATCGTGGATACGATGTATCCACGATGTTTTAATCAGCTGACCAATTACATCAGGTTTTATTTTGAGAATGAAGATACAGTTCTAGTTTAGCATTAAAGATCAAATTCTCATGGTATATAGGTAGCCACATATTTTAGTGGATACGCAGTGAGTTAGTTATTTTGAGAACGAAGCATACATTCAGTTTAGCATTAATAGATCAAATTCTCATGTTATATAGATAGCTACATATTTTAGTGGATATGCGGATACGTGGATACGCAGTGAGTTCGTTATTTTGAGAACGAGGCATACAGTTATATAGATAGCTGTATAGATAGCTGTATATTTTAGCGGATACGTGGATACGCAGTGAGTTAAGGTTTTATTTTGAGAATGAAGATACAGTTCTAGTTTAGCATTAAAGATCAAATTCTCATGGTATATAGGTAGCCACATATTTTAGTGGATACGCAGTGAGTTAGTTATTTTGAGAACGAAGCATACATTCAGTTTAGCATTAATAGATCAAATTCTCATGTTATATAGATAGCTACATATTTTAGTGGATATGCTGGATACGCAGTGAGTTCGTTATTTTGAGAACGAGGCATACAGTTATAGCTGTATATTTTAGCGGATACGTGGATACGCAGTATAGTTAGAACCAGTTATCCGCTGACCATTTTTGTTCGCTTAACTACATAAAATTGACTGCATATCCACATATCCACTGAAATATATAGCTACCTGTAACATGATAATTTGATCTATCAATCTATTTAATTTATTATTAATCTAGTAGAATAAATATATATTAACAAGTTCTGGCCGCGTATATATCCATTGAAATATTATACTATAACAAGTACTGACCGCGTATCCAGTGAAATAGTGGCTACATGATATGATATAACTAGTGGACGGGTATTCTGCAATTTAGCCCAGCAACCTTATTAAGATTCTGATATTTATTCATATGTTATTGTTTAAATTAAAACTGATATTTCATTGTGAGAGGTCTTGCACCAGTCAATGTATTAAAATCTGTTAGCCTTAGTGTAATGCCAGGAAAACTATCCATGTTTTTCAATGAAACATAACTATGTGATGGTATTCAAATTAACCAGACTCTCTACTTACATTTCATGCTAACTCGTTAAGACGAATGTGCTCAACTTTCAGTACTTTTTTATTTTACCTTGTCTAACACCAGAGTCTAACACCAGATCATTTTACTTGTGAAAGAGAGTGGACAACTTTGATAGGTTGCCTTGCTGTCTCCCTGTGTTATGTGTAAACTCATTAAGACCCAATTCACAAATTCATTTCAAAGCTCAATATTTTGCCCTGGAGTAATTCCATGCCATTTCAACACAGGCATGACACCCACCCTCTCCAAATTTCTTTATATTTCGCAGGCAGTTAACATTGTGTGGGAATAGTTTAAGTTCAAAATTTGAGCATCGTAGCTGCAATAGTTTTTGAGATATCGCAATTCGAAATATGGCCTGAAAAGCAGAAAAGTGGGCGTGGCCAGTGCTAAATTCACCATTACCCTATTTTACATTTTGACCTGTAACTTCATACCCGTACATGGTATATCCATCAAAATTTGCACAAAGATGTATTTGTATGTGGAGATTTCAAATATTGCACTTTCATCTTTGTATCTGCAACCAGTAATGTGTTATGGCACAGCAAAAAGTCTAATTATGTGTTTCTGAAGACACGAAATATACATCATCTTTATTGGAAAAATTTTTATGGAAGCCATACAGACACATCAGTAATTTTTATTCCACATCATATCCACATGCTATTCTACTTTCAAGCAAAATTTGGTGATGGTTAGTTGCCTGCTTTAAAAAGTAGAGCCCTTTAAAGTTGTCGTATTTTCTAAATAATTTAATAGTACGTTTTGGGTGTTTGTTAAGAATAAAATACATTCATTGAGAAATGAGACTGCCAAATACCTTAATGTTTGATTCTATCATTCTTTTTTAATAGTACATTATGTTCTCCAAGAGTAACTGTTATTTCTTGTATCAAATTACCTTAAGAAGTATATATAGAGATCACTACTGTTTATCCATGAATGTGCGTAAGACTTCTTGGTCTTTAGGCTGCAGTTTGTACTGCCTCCCAGTGACTATTGTTGGAACACCAATGTTAGAAATAATGTTCTCATCCGAAACCCGACAAGTATTAGTGATTGACCGATTATTATCAATTATTCATCCAATAATTTACCCGATTCTGATTATCTATGACGTCATAATCCATTTCGAGAATTTAATGATAATTTCCAACGTAACATGTTACTAGTAGCAACCAAAGTTCGTTAAACCTGTACATAAATGACACGCTTCACGTATTATTTCGTCGCGGCAACGGTTTGCTCCACACCTACTATGCAACACGCTACCGTTCGCGCAAGAGATTAAACAGTTGTTGTTTTCACATAAAAAGTGCATTTCAACGTGTATCACCGCGCAATATATATGATTTTTACATAAGTGCGTATTTTCTCAACAATCGGTTTTACACAATCGGAAAATACAATAAGCAAAAATCGGTCCGATTCTGATTATAATTTTTTATTTACTTTTTTATTAAAAACATCTTGTAACACGGTAGCTAATCAACTAAAAAAATATTAGCAAGGTTGTCGTTACTTTTCACTAGGCTGTGTACTTACAGACAGTATAAGAGATTCCCATGCACCCTCCCTCCCCGAACCACCCAAATAATTTTAGAAAGACATTCAAAGTTTATTATTCACTTCAACCCCACCCAGATAAAATTATATAAAAATTTTATTTCTTTCATTCCAAACTTTAGCGGCAACATAACCGAAAGTTCGTTTCATTGAATTTGTTTTTGGCTTCAACAACATCAACTTATTTTTGTTATTTTTTAATTCATATCGATCTGAATTATATAGTTTAAACATGTCCGAAATGTTATCGTGAAATTGGCATGTAAGTGCTTTTGATACATATTTTAGTTGTTGCTCCGTCCTTCTTTCACCTAACGTTTTCCAATCTAGTTTCTTTAAAATATCTATGGAGCGTATTTCATATGAGTCACCCGTAATAACTTTTGCAGCTCAGTTTTGGAGTTTCTGAAGATTGCCTCTTAAAGATTCGCCACAGTTACCCCAAATCATCGAGCAGTAATCAAAGTGTGGTTGGACTAAAGCTCGATAAAGATGTTTAAGAGTTTCCGTTGAAACGTATGGCTGACACGAGTACACGACGCAATTATCGGTCAATCGCTAACAAGTATCCTCTTACTGGCCAGAAATATGATCTTGCGATGCACTTTGGGTGCATAAACCTTATTAACGTTTGCATTTCTTTGATCATTGTCAACTTCTTCAATCAAATCAAGCCATTTTTCATCATCTTACAAGCATACAATAAAAGAGTTCACTGAAAGTACAATTGGTTCACGAGAAGGGGTAGATAAGATCATAAGAAATAAATTGTAGTGCATACTTTTGATCCATTGATATTCTTTTTGTGCATGTACTATTAATAAATATGTAATTTTTAAACTTTTAAAACAAATTTTAAATATGCACTATCCATAAAGAAGGATCGAATGAAACATTAAGGTATTTGGCAGTCTCATTTCTCAATGAATGTATTTTATTCTTAACAAACACCCAAAACGTACTATTAAAGTTATTTAGAAAATACGACAACTTTAAAGGGCTCTACTTTTTAAAGCAGGCAACTAACCATCACCAAATTTTGCTTGAAAATAGAATAGCATGTGGATAAGATGTGGAATAAAAATTACTGATGTGTCTGTATGGCTTCCATAAAAATTTTTCCAATAAAGATGATGTATATTTCGTGTCTTCAGAAACACATAATTAGACTTTTTGCTGTCCAATAACACATTACTGGTTGCAGATACAAAGATGAAAGTGCAATATTTGAAATCTCCACATACAAATACATCTTTGTGCAAATTTTGATGGATATACCATGTACGGGTATGAAGTTACAGGTCAAAATGTAAAATAGGGTAATGGTGAATTTAGCACTGGCCACGCCCACTTTTCTGCTTTTCAGGCCATATTTCGAATTGCGATATCTCAAAAACTATTGCAGCTACGATGCTCAAATTTTGAACTTAAACTATTCCCACACAATGTTAACTGCCTGCGAAATATAAAGAAATTTGGAGAGGGTGGGTGTCAAATCAGTTTTTTTTGTGTTGAAATGGCATGGAATTACTCATGTGTTTAAATGTGGATGAGGCTAAATAGAGGGTAGTCCACGAACCCAGATGTCATTGTCCATGCTTGCTCTTTGCTTGGAAAGAGTGAGCATGGAAAATGACATGTAGGGGGGTTTAAAAATTGCTACTGAACATAGAGTAACAAGTTCCCAAATAAATAATTTGAAGGGGTCGTACCATAGAATTCATATTACAGTTTATTAACTTGTAAAGCACATACAGGTACTTGTAAAGCACATTAACTTGTAAAGCACATCTTATCATACATTAAATTTGCAGGTGTCACACAACACCCACCTGCCCTGACTTCAAACTCTCCCATTAAGAACAGTAAGAATTTTGTTTTAGTTGAAGGATAGCCAATACTTCAAAAATAGAGAAAAACCTTTGAGGCCCATCACAAACTTCCATCATGGCCGGATTTTGAGGGGAGGTGTGGGGAGGTGCGCACCTCCCCAGAGATCATTTTGCCCCTCCCCTGAGATTTTTTGCACCTTCCCTGAAGATTCATCCACCTCCCCTTTGGAAATGTTAAATGATAGATCAAAATGACACTTTGACAAATGCGACCATTTTAATGCAATGTGTGAAAGAAGCTTTGTACTGGTAGCGAAGGGCAAAATTGGATGAATCGTACATAAATACACTCAGTCTGATTACTCTGATACATATGCACAGTACATGCATAATAATATTTTTAGGAGGTACGTTCTAAGCCCTAAATATTTCATGGGGACCGTAAGCTAGACCACAACACCTCTCCTAAATTTTTTCCACCTCTCTCCAATCCAGCCTTGACTTCCATACAAGGGCCTTGTCTGTTGTGTCAAAGCTTTATACTTTATATGTGATATCCTTCAATGGATAAATCATTAATCAACACTGCCTACACTGTTGTGTCATTAAGAATGCATAATAAAATCAAAACATGTAATTACTAGATAAAGATAACCAAGCTGAGACAGCTATGCATATTAAAAAAACCTTTTAATTATAGGGGGTAACCAAGGTTTATATCTTTTAAAACAACCCTAAGATACATACCCAACAAACCTACTAACATATATACACCCACAATGAAACATAGTGTTGCTTAGAGGAAGACATTATGTAATGTGGGTTGAACAACTGTGTGTGGGTTGAACTATGTTTGTGTAAAGTGAATAATATGAACTATCTGATATTCAATATTGGAGTTCAAATATATTATTGATATACCTACAATATAGAATCTATTTGGTATTTCTGGTGTTTAATTAAACACCATATTAAAGGGGATTTTAGAGAACAAGGCATATATTGCAAAAGGAACATGGGAACTATGCCAAAAAATCATATGGAACAAGGAAACATGTAAACTTAGCTTGGGGGGACAAGATGAAATCTATATTGGGAACAAGGAAATGAGGGAAAACTTTTCAAGTGAAGACAGGAACACAAGACAGGAACACAGACCCCCTAGGAATACATCTTTAACGCAAAATTGGTAAAGTTAGTACGAGTTTTCAGATTATAAGAGAATTTCATCTTTTATAACATCTGTAAACTGTACTAAATGCATAATTAAACGTGAGGGCAACATAATTTTAAAACATGGACACCTTTTCATTACTGTTTCAAAAAGTCAAGCTATGGCTCTGATTAGTTAGTTGAAAATTTGTTAACTTGACTGAAATTGGAGGTTCCCATGTTGTCTAAACAAAGCACCATGTTTTGCAATAAATTGACATAAAAAGAAACTTCATATGAAATATTGATAAGGCCATCTGGAGATGTGGTTGATAGCAGTGCAAGGCTCTTGATTGGCTGATATTCCTAGGCATTATTACTATTATTCATTATTAGACAATTTTTCTTTATTCCACACTTATCCACAGGAAACTCAGTAATGGCCTTTATACTTTAGACTGATGTAAGAATTACTTTACATGAAAAAACAGTATACCACAAGAAAAACCACAAATTACGTAGTTTACTATATTGTCAGTACTGTAAATCATTTTGCAAAGTTGAAAACTTTCAGATCTGATATCTCAGACTTTTACTTTACAGTATTGTCAGACTAAATTTTCATTTCATTAGGTACAGTGTATTAAAATATTAAAACGGTCGAATATTTTTTTCCTTGTATCAAGATATAAACCTATTAACAAAAAACTAGCATACCGGTAGGTCACAGCAATACAGGTATTTTGTATGTTGAATATCCTTCTTGAGTATAATGAAACAAAAAATGTAAACACGGTGGCATGATGTAAGTTTGCGATATCGTTTTCGTTAATATACGCTACAGTATAATATTAACTTACTCTCTTTTCTTTTTTGTTTCATCGTATTTACCAACGGGTAAATGTTGGATTAAGCCAAGTCGTTGAGCTAAACGAATTTGTTGCTCTTCGGAAAGAAGATGGGGAGCCCTTTGGCTTTGAATATAACACGAATATGGAGGCTCTTCCTGTATGATAAATAAAATGAAAAACAATGAGACAAGAGCCATAGCTTCTAGATATAAAAAAAACACAGAAGCTTTAGGACTGAAAGCCGTTCAGACTGCTTGAACCATCAATTAATATTTTAATACGAATACCTGATATGGCGGTGGCGGTTCTCCCCGCGAATTCAGCGCTCCGTGTTCTTCGTGTAGCAGTGAAATATCATCTGAAGTTGGGGTTTTAAGACAGTTACCCATTACGGGTTTTCAATAAGGTCTAAAAGCGACCAGAAAAGAACTAAAACTGTATTTGAATACACAAATTATCCGCTTAATTTTTTTCTCACAACATTGTTCTCCCGAAACCAGTGTTGTTGTCGTTCCGAGTAAACACCGGAAATGGTCGTCGTGTGGTCGACTGACGTCCCACGTAAACACAGCAAACCCAGGAGAGTCGCTACAAATCAATCAATGTGCACACACACCTCCCAAAACTCCCCAAACCGCGTAAAGGCAATTCTTCTGAAATGGAAAAGATGATTCAATCGACTAGGTATACCTTCCTAGTTTATTCTCTTGAAATTTGCCAAGTGTTTTATTAAATGGAAAAGGTGATGACCTAAGCAACTTCTCAGTTGATACGTCATCTTTCTGCGTGTCAGAGTAGTAAACAGAGTCAAAAACAGACCTTGAGTTTTCCATTTTTAATAACTCAACAAGACATACTATTCGGAATGAGTCAAAACAATATTTTTGAGTTATTGTCATCTGGTAAAGAATTCCTGGAAAATCACGTACAAATCAGTTGCAGAAATTCTAAAGGAATGAGCCAATTTTAAATCTTTTTAGGTAATTCCCCTTAATAATTGGTAGTTTCCAATCAAAACCACCACAGCTTTCTAGAACGCTTTTAATCACGAGTGGTAAAAAACAGGAGCAATTTTCTGACTAGAATCGTTAATTTGAGCTACTTAGTCTGTTAGACTGTATTCAATTGACTTAGTACCCTAATCCTAACCATAGTAAATCCCACTCCTAACTTACCCTAACCCTATTGAACTGTGAATTTTATTCAATTTCAGAGTTTGTCGGTTACTGACCGACTCAAAGCCGAGTTCGAGTCAAATGTTCGAATCACTGTTTAACTGTCTTTGTCGGTAAAATGACTTAGTACCCTAGCCCTACTTCTAACCCTATTCGACTGTGAATTTTCTTCACTTTCGTCTTTTTTTACGCGACTCGGGCGTTTGACTCGGGCTCGGGAATGACTCGGATTCGGATTTGACTCGGTAAATGGATTTACTCTGTAGTTCAATCTCACACAACTTTTGCTCATTGAAAATGTTCCAATGTTCATTCCAAAGTTCGCACAAATTCGTTGCGAAGTTCAAAAGTTTCACAATAGTACCAAACCGGTTTGTAAACTAAAGCCCCGTTTACACTACGCTCGATTTTTGGTACCGTACCACTTTTTTGGTTCTTGTATTTTAGGTAGTCCAAAAAAATTTCCGGACATGCCATTTTTCAGTAACTTTCGAATTATTGTACCGTAATTAGTTAAATTATTCGGTAATATTTTCGTAAATTTAGATTTTTAAAATATAAATTGTAATATCTTGATCTTGATTTTCAAAATTAAAATCTACATTTTTTATCTTTTCCAATGTTTTAATTTTAGGGGCCCATGATGGCAGGAGGAGCCCACATGCACAACAGGTTCTCGTCGGCTCGTCCATAAGTGATAAGACTGATAACTAGAACAATAGTAAACCGGCATGTGAGCAAGCTAAAGATTGGGTAGCACGTAGCAACGATGTAAATAACTTCAAATATAAACGTCAGCCAAAATGTTTCTATCTAGGTTTTGACTTTCTTTATACAAGAAATCTGCGATTGATAGGGATACAACTACCTGAAAATACAAGCAGAACTTCGACGTTGCGAGCGAAGGCTCTAATTACGTGGGTTGGGAAAATTTCATGAGCTTTTATACTAGTGAATATAAACCAATCAGATAGATTTCGATCAAAAACAAAGTGTAAACAAAAAAATGTAAACAACTTTGTGAATTTTGAACATCCCAACGATACTGTAACAGTGTAACACGAGTTTACAGTCAATTTCCTGATGAGCAGGCAGAAAGTTGGATCGACAGGAGATTTCTGGTTACAATGAAGCTGTTATGATTGGTTAATAAAACTATACATAATTCTACGAAAAAGCAGGGTGAAATGAACGTGTCAACGTCACGTGCGTACGAACTGGCATGGTGCCATACATGGTTGCCATAGATGGTTGCCAGGATGGTTGCACATCAGTGCGCGCAGCCACATTACAAGCGGCTGCGCCCGCAAAACTAATCGGCAAGAAGCGCGCCATCTTGAGCATGCAAGAAGAATAGAAGTCCAAATTTACAAAAACTCTGAATTTGAACACCGTTTCGCACGAGTTTGTAGAAATATCGGCTGTTTGTGTGTTCCACAAGTGATATGCCAGTAGCTACAACTCGAATGCCGGGGGACAGGACTGTAGTTTCACCAGAAATCTTGGAAAATGCGGGCAAAGATATCGATGAGTATTTGACTTCAGACAGAAGATACCCAGAATTAGCTGATCAAATTGGAGTGTTTTCACATGGTAAGGTTATAATATTAAAGTGATTAGGTTATATGAAGTTAATTATATACATAATGTAGTTGTGTTTGTAAATTGTAAAGTGAAGTTTATAATATACTTAATACAGTCTATTTTATATCATACTGTAGTCTGTAGTTGATGAGTTGATCATACATGTTTATTTCGCAAACCATATTTTTACATATTTTTACAAATGTCCAATCACATGCAAGGTTCAGATTCTGAACCTAATCAAGTATGGAAGTGAGATTTGCAATTACTAGAGGCTCTTCCATCTTCTGTTTCTTTTTCTCACTGTTCTTTAAAAGTATCTGGACCAGGGTGGATTGTACTATGATCAATGGCCAGGGTGGAAAGTTTGTTTTTTGTGCGCTGAAGATTTGATCCAGGTTCAGTAACATGTGCCAGTGGCTGCACAAATCCTGTTTTAAACATATTCATAGTCAGTGCTCAATCAAATTCCCGTTATTACATGGCTGAAATACAAACAGAAATGGTTGAGAATGTTGTAGTGTGCATACCTAAATAAATTTTGTGTACACCAGTGCGCCACACCAGTTCATTTTCCCATAGTTCTGTGCCAAAATGGAGCAAATTTGTGAATTTTCCACGTCGAACATCTTCGGCGCAACCTACAAACTTTCCACCCTGGTCAATGGTCAAACAGTCAACAATTCTGGTTGGGTCTGACAAATGTCTATAAAGCAGCCCTAGTGTTTTCAAATCTTCTGCATGTCTGGTACCATAAACTTGGTACATAACTTTTGTTGCCTGTCATGTCACTTTTTCTTGCATGCTTTTTGAACAGTATATGGGTAATTCCAATGGTAGTGATGACATTTTTTTGAAAAAAAGTTGTCAAGAATTTTCAGAAGCTATTGGAAACAATTCTGAACTGAAATATTAAGATGTACTTTATATGTAACATGAGTCACATAACATGAGTCACGGTTATTATGTAGCAATCCTTACTATTGTAATCCAAAATATAAAATTTCTTTGTGTTGGTAGTTTGCCCAAAATATAGTTTGTTACTTGATAGACATTGTATGTTTCTCCTTCCTATGGTCCCCGAAGAAATTCAAAAGTAATTAGGTTGGTGTTGCCTCATGTCACTTTGTCGTAACATGAGTCACACACCAATTTACAGCCACCAATCGTATCATGTTATAATCAAATGTTTAATTTTTACTGTGAATCAGTAGCTTACCATTATTTGTACCTGCATGCAAAAATGTGACAGAAAAAATATATTAGTTATTACACCAGATTAATCTGATAGTTTAGTTCAGAGTGTAACATGAGTCACCATGGAATTACAATTACCCATATACTTAATTTGGTCTTGGTGAAAATCTTATAAGAAATGATATAAGAAAGATTTGCCAACTCAGTTTTTTTATCCCACAATGGCTAATTTCCAGCACCTAAGTTCCAGATGGATGATTATCACTATGTCTGTGTTTTGCTTTTCAAAACACGTCTGTTTATAACTGATATGTAAGATAGCCATATTTTATGGTACATACTCAGGGTTTGAAATAGCCTACGGCTGCCGGCGATATCCGGCAGTTTTAGGACCTTGCCGGCAATTTTTAATTCCAAAGCATAGGGGATCGGCGAGAATGTTTATTACATATACACAGAACTTGTTAAAGTGCCTATATCACTTGGGGGACTTTTATGGATTTGAAAATAAATTAAAAAGATAGTTAATATGTTTGAAAGATTTTTTTGATTTAGTGCAATAGTTTTGAGGATATAGGCCTTTAATTAAACAATGTACTGTTCCTGAGTCCCAGCCTCCTGGGGTTAAACACGGCTATTGTATTTGGCCTTTTTCCAAACTGTCCATTGTGCATAGGAGCCTGGGACTCAGGAACTGTAGGTAGTTTAGAGGTCTGTATCTTCGAACTTATTGCACTAAATCAAAAAAATCTTATGAACTTATTAATTAAATTTTTACGCTCTTTTCAAATCCATAAAGGTCCCACAAGTGATATAGGCACTTAATTATACCAACCAACTAAAATGTATTGCACTGTGTTCGTACAAATGTTGTCTTGCTTCACATCACTATTATTTGGCCCATGCCCACTTCAGAACATAACTACACTTTGCTTGGAACATAACTACACTTACAAAAACAGCCCACAAAATTTGACATATTTTCAGAACGTTATTTCGAACCCTGCATACCTCAACAACTGTCAACTGACCAGCAAGATGCTTGCCATTATTTGAACATGACACTGTACAAAATAATGCAAACATCAAATATCATGGACAATCATGTACTAATGTTCTGGGGGTCAAGAGTTTTCACAATCAAGTTTATTTTGTCCTGGTCACCATTAATTAGTCAGGGCCTGTTTATATGGAAGCTGGGCTGGCCCGCTCAATAATAAAATGGGTGCAATACGCATGCGTGTCAACCATGAAATTCCAAAGTTAATTTTTTAAACTAATTTTTATTAAACATTTATGGCGTTCCATTTATCCAGTTTTGGTTTCAAATTAAGTTCACTCCAAAAACCGGTGAATTATTCATACTTTGACACTTATATACTATATAACAAAACACTTATTTACTGAGACCTCGGGAAAACAGTGTGTTTTGTGGCCCCTCAAACGGTCTCGGGTCCACAAAACGCACTGTTTCCCTGGGTCTCAGTAAACAGGTGATAAATATTAATTGTTCAACTTTTGTAAAATGTCTGAAAACTGTGAGGTCTACAACAGATATGAAACACACAATATATACCACATAATATCATTCAGCCATACAAGTCACACCTGTCAGAAGCATGACCACCCAATATTATATAATAATGTTAAGAATTCAAGTGCTTTCATTGGTCGAGACCCATGATCTATTGGAGGACAGATTGTAAAATTTCAACTTTTTCAAATTTCCAAATGTTTGGGTGGATAAAAAGTAAGCTATTTACCTGTTTAATTCAAGGTTTTTCTTTTTATTATATAAAACAAATAGATAAGATTTGGCTGTTGTCTGTTCAGTTATAGACCCATTGCACTGACGTCACAAATCCTTAGAATGTCCTCCAGATGCTCCCTAACAATATCTGTTCGAGTACAACATACAAAATTATTATAAACTTTTACAAAATTTGCTTTGTTTACAAAAGTTATATTATGCACAGATTGCTACTAGCGAGCTTAAGATCTACAACGCGAACTTACGACGCGGACGTCACATTAAACAAGTTTTATTTTAAAACTATGGCAAATACCATTAAAATATTTTTATCACAGTAAATAAAATGAAATTATACTGGAAAAAATGTACAACATAACAGAGGCTAGCAATATATTAAGAAGATATTTTTTATCGTAAGTTTTTACGACTTCTATGACGACGAATCTTTGCAAATATCACGTCGTCTCGGATGGTAGTTTTGGCGGGAAAATGTGCATTCGTAACAATAGTCTATAAAGCCTGGTTTCTATCATTTCGTATGGCTGTTAACGTGTCATAACAGTGTCACAAATCTCGCAGAAATAAACTGTGACAACTCTGACTAAGCTTACACTGCGCGGACGTGCTTACCTAAGGCTAGTTTTCCACAAATTCGCGTTGTAGATCTTAAGGTACGTTTACACGCTGCGATTTGTCGGGCCGATTTTGCTCGCTGTATGTAAATAACCTGTCGTGAGTACTCGCGTCAGCACCTTGCGATTCACAAAATCGGGAGAAAAGTCTGTAACACTAACACAGATTTTTCTCACGATTGAACGATTTTTCTTCCGTTGTAAAGTTGAGAGAGCGGACAGCTTCAATTGAACGTTTAAATCGCTAAATGTCGAAGAAGGGGCATCGATTATTTACCAAAATCGGCCCGACAAATCGCAGCGTGTAAACGTAGCTTTAAGCTCCCTAATTTGTCTTCCAGATGCATCGTCACCGGCGCTGTGACGTCATGTGCAATGGGTCTATAGATACACAGCATGATGTCATAATGTGGGAAGAACAAAGAAATGACCCATTTGTCCTTCCCACATTATGACGTTATACTGTGTATCAATAACTGAACAGACAACAGCAAAATCTTATCTATTTGTTAATCATACCACGATATGACGTCATGCTGTGTATCTATAACTGAACAGACAACAGCAAAATCTTATCTATTTGTTAATTATACCACGATATGACGTCATACTGTGTATCTATAACTGAACAGACAACAGCAAAATCTTATCTATTTGTTAATCATACCACGATATGACGTCATACTGTGTATCTATAACATAATGTGGGAAGAGACAAAGAAATGACCCATTTGTCCTTCCCACATATGACGTTATACTGTGTATCAATAACTGAACAGACAACAGCAAAATCTTATCTATTTGTTAATCATACCACGATATGACGTCATGCTGTGTATCTATAACTGAACAGACAACAGCAAAATCTTATCTATTTGTTAATCATACCACGATATGACGTCATACTGTGTATCTATAACTGAACAGACAACAGCAAAATCTTATCTATTTGTTAATCATACCACGATATGACGTCATACTGTGTATCTATAACTGAACAGACAACAGCAAAATCTTATCTATTTGTTAATCATACCACGATATGACGTCATGCTGTGTATCAATAACTGAACAGACAACAGCAAAATCTTATCTATTTGTTAATCATACCACGATATGACGTCATGCTGTGTATCTATAACTGAACAGACAACAGCAAAATCTTATCTATTTGTTAATCATACCACGATATGACGTTATGCTGTGTATCAATAACTGAACAGACAACAGCAAAATCTTATCTATTTGTTAATCATACCACGATATGACGTTATACTGTGTATCAATAACTGAACAGACAACAGCAAAATCTTATCTATTTGTTAATCATACCACGATATGACGTCATGCTGTGTATCTATAACTGAACAGACAACAGCAAAATCTTATCTATTTGTTAATCATACCACGATATGACGTCATACTGTGTATCTATAACTGAACAGACAACAGCAAAATCTTATCTATTTGTTAAATACCACGATTAAGTGCTGCAAAATGTACATGAGCTCTGGGAATGGACCATTTGCATTATAGACTAAATTTTGATCTAAACAAGTCTAGACAAAAATTTCATCACAGCTTCAAAGAACATCACAAAATTAGTAACATTCCAAAGTTTCGTTGCGAAATGTTGTAAAATGCGGATAATATAGCCTTGCGAAGCGTGCCGTTTTTCAGTCATTTTGTATTACAAACGGGAAATTGACAGCCCCAAAGAGTTTGGGGTTGTCAATTTCCCCCGCGTAATACAAAATGAAAAACGGTGAAAAACTGAAAAACGACAAACTTCGCAAGGCTATATTATCTGCATTTTACAACATTTCGCAACAAAATTTTGCAATATTACCAATTTTGTGATGCTCTTTCAAGCTGTGATGAAATTTTTGTCTATACTTGTTTAGATCAAAATTTAGTCTATAATGCAAATGGTCCATTAGTTTCATATTATTTGCAGAGAACAATGAAAAATTCGTTGGGATTCGAACTTGCATCTTCGGGTTTCCAGACCGGCGCTCTGCCCACTGAGCTATCGAGTTAACGGGGATTGGTAACGAGTCTCATCCAATTTAAGGTGGCCTCCATTATTTCCCCAGTTTGCATCACCAAACTACTGTACAATATTGCGTAAATACTAAGGATTACGAAAAACAAAATATGTCTTTAAATATTCTCGTTGGACAACCCTCGAAATTCAACTATTTTTGCCTCGGCAAATAATTGCCGAAGTCTTTCGATAATTTTCGAGTTTGCCTCGGCAATGCCTCGGCAATTTTTTTTGCCGAGGCGCGCAATGAAATCACCTTAAATTCCTTCGGCAATTCCTTCGGCACCCTTCGGCATTCACGTCGGCAGTTGTAATTAAAGTAACGTATATACGGAAATTATTGTAAACAAATATTATAACGAGCGTAGATTCTGGCGGTTGACAATTTGTTGTTATTTTACAAATTCCTGATTAAAATGTTTTTAAAAAGTTAGTGGTAATTAACAACAAACTGTATGAAAGAATAAACTTGACGGTAATCACGCGACAGTCTAAAAGATAAAACAAAGTTTCTCGACGTGCCGTCTTTAAACCATCAAGATTGTTTTTTATTTAAGCGGAAGCCGACGCTGAAAAGCTCAAATTTAAATATTTTGCTATTAATGAAATCTTCTGTTGTTCACCCGGGCGACGTCGATGACAACAATTCGAACAAAGAAGTGATACAATAAAACGAACACTGTAGTTTGTAAATTTAAGCAGAAAAACGAACAGACGCTGTAGTTTGTAATTTAAGGTCTTTAAGGTACAACAGGTGGAATTACCTCGGCATTTTTTTGCCGAGGCAAACTACGAAAAATCGTAACTTGCCTCGGCATTTGCGTCGGCAATTGCCGAGTGCCGACGCGAATTTCGAGGGTTGAATTTGGACTAATATTTTGTGTACTTTGAACTACTTTCCATATTTGTTTTCATTTTGACTTCCATAATATTTGTTTGAGATTATTGAAAACAGAAAATACAGTATATCTGAAACAGTAAGAATGGAACAATTTGGACTTGTTCAGTTGTTGTGAAAATCAGAATAAAAGCCCGTAAAACTATTCACGACTATTGAAATTTTTTCACTAAAGATCTGTTTCATGAAGGATCAACTTTTATGTAAAGTAAACACTTGACGATTCAAGTTAAATGCGAAGAGCTATAGTAAGTCTTTGATATTAACTATTACACAAATAAATATTTCAGTGACATAATTATTTGTAGTGCAGTATTTCAAAAAGTCAAGTTTTAAATCGCTACAGTGTTATTTATATTTCACTGTAGTTTCGACAAGTCGAAGATTTTGAACAATACTAAACGTTAAAACGTAAAAAAATACTATAAAACAAAAGTTTAAAACTGGTCAACGATTTAAAGAATACTGGTGTCGTTTTTTTTTTTCAATATAAGCACTCATGTGGCACCAAAGAGAAATGTTTTTCGTGGCACAAATTTTGCTGACCCAACCATTAAAAAGTAAAAAAAAAATATTACCGCAACCTCAAATATCAATTAAAAATAAATACCCACCCCTGGCCAAAAACTTTACAAACGGATACCATTCAGTTGTCACACATAACCTTTACCACTTCTGTGACATGAGTTTGACAACGGCTTGTGAAATTTTCTGCAGTCTAAAGTTTCATGTTGTCTGCAAATGTACTTTCTTTGGAGACACCATTTGCCTAGCTCCTAACAAATCGGAAAATGATCAAGATAGTGACTTTGATTGATTACATATTGTATTGACATATGACTGTTGACAGTGCTTTTTGGTCTCCAATATTTCAGTGAGTCATGCTTTGGAAATGACAATAAATGTGTATTACCCAACTCTTGAGTTTTCTTTTTCATTTACCCAACCTTTTGCTTACTCAAAATTTCGTTTACCCAACCCTTTTCTCTTCGGTGCTATTCCCGCCATAAATAATGACCGGTCCCTAAATCAACTTCAAATTCTACTTATAACTGTAGGGAGGCTCTTTAAGTGAATGAAATATTTTCGCGACGACTTAACTGTTGTCTTAGAGGACGCACAGTATTTCAATTCTATTTCAGAACCCCAGATACCAGTCAGGGAAAAAGTGGGGGAAGTGGTTCTTGATTCTCATCCTCGTCTCTTGCGCATATTTGTAATGGACAACTGAGGTTGAGAGCTTATCCTTCACAAAAATGTCCTGGGGACGAGTTTGAACATTGTTCCCATCATCAGTGTTTAGTTGTTTGGTTAACGACAGCTATTAGCCTTATCATTCAGCACTGATAGATAATAGACTTATCATTCAGCACTGAATATGATACGTCTACTCACCATGCAGCGAAATTCAACTGCCTGAAAAATACAAGTTCTCAAAACTTCGACGTTTTGAGCGGGAAATAGTGTTTTTGTTGCTACCCACGCTGGCACAGACCCTTTGAGTTTAAATTAAGTCTATTCACGGCTGTTCCCTATCCCTCCACAATTGCGGTTACTGGTTTTGAACTAACTCTTCTTTCTTGCTAACATCCGCCACTGGCATATGATTCATGATTTCAGACCTTACTGGGTTTAAATCAAAAGCCTTCTGTGAAAAGAATCAATCGTGGTCATACAAAGTTCTTAGTGGAACAACTGTATGCAATGTTTCTCTATATGCTCATTTTTCTTTACTTGCTTTTGGCCCTGATCTCTATGTCCAAGCATCTATATTTCAACGGAAATATCATTTAGTTCCTTTTAAGTAAGAATGGTACCATACCTGATTGTCTCACTGAATTGTATCACTGTATTATCATAATTGTATTACCATACCTGAATTGTATCACTCTCACTCACTCACTGGCAAAGTTTCTTCATTGCTGCAATGATCACAAACAAGCAAGACCTTGTCCACCACAACTTATTCAAATCCTGAACTGTTTCATATTTCCATTTGCTCCGTGAAATATCGCCATTGTTATCCAGTAAACCAGGGTTGCTCACGTGGGAAGGTCATGTAGATAAAGCATTTTACCTTCCAGCATTGAACTACGTTTGGCTATTTAGCGAGTGTCAGCGTTCTGTTAATAACACGCATAGCAAACAGTGAAAAATGTTTTCAAGAAACAGAGAAATTCTCACTTCTATTTCACTTACCCAACATTGCCCAATTTTCGATCTCTTTAGTTCTTCTGTCCTAACTTTAATTTTATTCACTTTGTTCGAGAAAATCAAATTTGCTTGATACCCATAAAGCTTCGGTTTAATTAATTTCCGAAATAGTTCTTCACATGGCGTCTCAAGATCTTGTCGTATTTGGCTTGGACCATGGCGCACCAGCATGAATTCTTAACCAATGCTAAATGGAATTATTCCCGTAAACAGTTTCAAAGACGCGACAAGTAGTACGTGCTATTTCTTTCAATCAATTAGGATAAAGTTCATTGTGACGTCACATGAATTTATAAGCGTGTGCTACAGCAAGGGATTATGGGTAATTTCAGATTGTGACGTCATGTAAGGAACTCGTGTGAAAATTGATAAGAGACTCGGTGGATAATTAGGATCACTTGGGGGTTTCTAGGACTCATCATACCTCATACCTAATTCATTGTTAAAATATGTTTCTTAAGGACAGCTGAATGCCTTATTTTACCATACAAAAATAAACTCACAAATTCTTCCTTTTGTCCCTTTTGAGCGGATTCCTTTGCTGATTCCTTTGCTGCAGAATTGTCTGCATGATTAAATAATTATGCCTCTATCTTTGTCAGAGACATTGAGCTCAAGACACAGTCTCCCCATTGAGATTAAAAAGTGTGATGCGATGCAAATTTTGCTACAGTTTCATGCGATGCAGGTTTTGCTTGCCCGCTTTCCACTAGGCGCATTTGTTCGCTCGAAGCGAAAATAAATTTCGGCAATGTGATTGGTCAGCGAAAATTGTCGCCGCGAAAAAGTTTGATCAGTTCCTACTTTATTAATTGTCGCTAACTATTTTGCCTGGCGGGAAACGGGCTTTAGCAACATTAGTTTTGTTTTACTGGTATACTGTGATTAGGTTAATGAAAGGTGTTAGCAAAGTCTTACATGTATGTGTTCTTTTTCTTGCAGCTAATGTTGGACTAAGTGGCGTAAATGACTTTGACTATCCTGAACTGTCAAGTATTTCGGATGGCCTGGCAAACATTCAGTTGATATCAACAGTTAAACATGTACCACTGCCATCAGAACTTGTCGAACAATTTTCTTGTATCCTTTTTTATTGATTTCCTCATATCGATTTTTCGTTAGTCCCTATTTCGTGTAATAATGGTTGTCCGGATATCAAAATCTCTCTTTTCTCTACCTTGTTTCAACGTCATGTCAAAAGACAAGAATTGCGTCTCATCTCCAAACATACCACCATTCATCTCCGTGGTCGGAACGAACGTTTGAAACCGAAGAATATAGGCCAGGTTAAGTGTTCCAAGGGTCGTGGGTTCGGTTCCCACCGTGGCCGGGCATATTTTTCAAGCCTGCCCGGTGTGGATATACACTCAGAGTAACATCATGGGAATCTTATTCACCTGAGTACATAACACCAACACAGCAAATATTATTTCTTTTGTGTTACAGTATATTTAATGCAGGTGCAGGATTATATTTGTTAAAAAATATCGTTAACATTGTGTAATAATGATAATAAAATCATTTATTTAAACACGATAATAATATCGCCGATGTGGTCGTGTGACTAATACTATACATTATAACTAACTAATAATAAAATGTGGCTAATTTGACTAACTAAATTAATATTTCACATAATTACATAAAATAGAAATCACAATATTTTGACAGCACAGTGACACTAATATATGATGATGTAAACGGATTTCTGGAACGAAATGTACAAACTACTTACCATGGTACTTTTATGAACATTGATGTAATAATATGACTATCTAATTCCATACAAGATACTGTAACGGGTGACTAAATCTTTCGAATACTACAGGAGTATAACCGCATTATTTAAGTTATATATCTAGCTGTAATCACTGATAAATCCTGAGATTAATGCATATCTTACAACAAACTAAACATTTATCATTTGTTTCAATTTGGATAATTAGACAGTCATATAATTAGTAACTTATTAGTATCTGGTATATCATGTGTTAAAACTTAATAGTCTTAAGATATGCAATGTAATTGCCAGATGGGATTGTTCCCAGAAATTCGAAGAGCTTGGCTATCCATTGACAGTGATATATTCGTTTGGAATTATGAAGATGGGTGAGTTTGACGGACACTTGAGTTTTGACGCACTCTTGAGTTGACATTCCTCCTTAGTGAACACATATCTTTGGTCCCAATGTTAATGAAATACTTTTATCAAAACACCTATCAAATACACACCTGGTTAGGTGGACTGATCGTCGGGATCACGGAGGTATCCGCTAAACAGATTTTCAACTGTATTGTGTATTAGTAGTGTGGCTATATACAGTGTGATTGTATAAATACGGGAGATGTTTGGCAAAAAGTTGGAGAAATTACTTTCCTTCTCCCTCAGTTACTGTGGCCGTCATGTAAAATGTGAAGAAAACGTTATGATTTTACCCCCTAGAATCTCTCTAACCCCTCTTATAAAGTGTTCAACCCCACCAAAATTTCGCTTCACCCCTCCTATTTTGTGTGAAAGTATTTAACCCTAACGCCTAACCCCTGCCGAAGCTCGCTCAGTGGTGCCATTTGCACCCCACTAGAAATTTTCCCACCCCTCCTTTTAAGTAAAATGAAAATCCGCCCTTGGATTTTACTTTGTATTATTCCGACAATGTGTGTTTGTTGCTGGTAAAGATAGTTTGAAGCTTAATATCTCTGCTCTTCAAACAAATGATTGGTGCCTACTCTGCTCTCGTTTTCAAGCCAGCCATACAGTACTTCTCGTACAAACAAGGAAAACTATAGTCAAGGAAAATATGTCCAAAAATACAGCGTCCCTCTTTCGTTATAAAACTCCTAAATGCTGTGAATCTAGGTCTCAGCGCTGACAGTTTTATTTGATTTTAACGAATTCTGACTTGAATAAGTTTCTTGTTTTACAGAAGTGATTTGGCTTACTTTGATGGTTTAAGTGAAACGATATTAAGTGCTGGTCTGGTGAAGCCAAAACCAGGTACTGTATAGAAACATGTTGTTTTACTTTCATCATTGGCGTGAACATGCTTCATTTTTTAGCAAATAAGGATCGTATCTTAAAGCATTAATTCAATTTTCCTACAGGAATATTTCAAGAACATATTAAGTTTCTCCTATGTCTTACTACACCTGTCGATGTTGTTCTTCTTGGTGTCAGCTTCAGTGACAGGAATGCAGGTAAAGTCTCTTGAAATTACTGTAGTTGTTAAATTATATCTTATATTTGAACACAAGCTACACTAGTACGGTTTACAGGACATCGCTTCGTAGTTCCTATAGTATATGAGTGTAAATAAATCCCGTTGCATGGACACCCCATCATAAAATGTCGAGATGTTATTCTTGAGGTTATAATGAAAGTTTTTATTACTGGGGCACGCACCAAATTTGGGCGCCCAAATTAAATTTGTTTATCAGCATCCCAACCACGTAGATCCCGCCGGGGGAGTAACACCTGCACGCTTAATTTTAGTTGCTGTATTATGTAATTGTATTTTTTAGATGCAGGGCCAGAAGACGATTACCAGGAGATGCACTTACTACCTGAACCTTTATTTACCTTACAAACTGACAATGTTTACATGTCTGGAATAACTGGAACACTGAACGGCAGAATATTCCTCTGTGGAAGAGATGGCTGTGTATATGAAATGGATTACCAGGTAGGTATAAAGACATGAAATATGCATGTTATCATATTCCATGTGCATGCCTTGTTCCTGAAGAAGAATGCAAGGCTATCAAAGTCCTAAAATCCTTATTAGACTTTTCATGTTCGAGCATGGTCGGTAACTTCACTCCTCAGAATATATGTCTGGCCACTTTTGGACTGACCTTGTCCATTCGCGATCGTTTTACCATGCACACGTGTCCTGCTGTTTCCTTTTCTCACAGTAGTGGTCGGGAGGTCTTGCTTTTTAAGGCTATTGCAGGAAGCTGCAGTGTGTGCGAACTATAACTCTCGTTTTATGGCTTGGTCTTTGATAGTGCTGTGCAAACTCCGGGTTTTCACCTCCGGCCCCAGCCAAAAACCCAACTCCGACAGAACATTTCCAGCCCGGCAAATTCGTGAAAATTCGAAATTTAGTGGAAATTTTACATTTCAAAATGGAAGCACTATCTTTGTTTTTGATTTTTTTAATAACACTTCACATGAACATTTCGCACTATGTTTGTGGCCAGCCTACGCAGTATCAATGCGAGTATTTACTTTTTCGTCGATGGATTCAGGTTTTTTAGCCGATGTCCGACAGTAGTTTGCAGCTCAAATAAGTGCTGCCGGAGTGAACAAACTCCAGCTCCGGCAAAATAGGCAAAAACTCCGGCTCCGGTGCACAGCACTAGTCTTTGGATGTGGCTATACATTGTCCACTATAGTATTGATGTCTTATACTGTTTTATACAATGTTTTAGGGAACAGGCAACTGGTTTGGAAAGAAGTGTAAGAAGGTCAACCATTCTGCAAGCTCTCTATCATTTCTTGTTCCATCATTTCTCAGTTTTTCATTCAGTGGTGAAGGTGAGAATCACACAATGATCTCTTCAAACTAAATGTAGATCCCCTCCACCTATATACATTCCCCTAGCAGGGATATTTTAGGTTTTAGTACTTGAGTGGGAGCTCCCCCCTAAATTTCAGGGGTTTTTTATTTGGGTGGGTGGGGGTGGGGAATTCCCACTCCTATAGTCACAAACCCAGACATCATTTCCTACGCTCACCTATTTCCAAGTGAGGGGATAGAAATGATGTCTGAGTTCACCAACTGCACCTCTATACTCAAGGTTATATTCCTTACCACTTACCAGATTAATAATGATATTCATGTTCCATTTTGGGGGGAATGCCCCCCCCCCCCGCAAAATACCCCTACCTAGGAACATCGAATCTGCCCGTTTGATAGGAATGAACACCAAAGTACTTTACGATATTATTTCTTGGGTTAGGTCTTCGTCAACTTCGTTCCCAGGCTATCCCCTCTTGAGCAGCAAAGACCATGGGAACGAAGTGGGTTTTCGTTGGGCAATATGTTAACTACAATTGAAAAATAATTATAAATACGTTTATCTCTAATATGTAATTGGAATTTCGAATTTCAGATCCCGTTGTTCAACTAGCAGTTGATAATACGAGAAATATTTTATATTGTCGGACAGAAAGAGGGTCCATTCAGGTATGAAAGTGGAACGCCATAAAGATTAATTCATGCTTGTTTACTGAATACCTGTGCATGAATATTTTTAATTATTATTTGAGCTATGTATGTGATTATGTTATGTATGTGATTAACACATACTATACTTACTGCAGTATAGGGAAACCTCGCAAAGTCTGCGTTCAATCTTGGTTTGTATAACAATCTGAATTTATATCATGAATCATGTATTTGTATTCTAGGTTTTTGATTTAGGAAAAGATGGTACAAAAACATCTTACGTGACGTGTTGTTATGAAGAAAGTATTGTGAATAAAGCAGCTAGCATGCTAAGGTAATCTATGTTTTACATACTTATTAATAACATTTACATTGCTTGTTAGGTCTCCATGATATTTTTATGTGTGAAATAATTCCCAGTGTACCCAAGTTTTCCTTATTGAATTGCACAGTAGACGTTTCCCAAGATAACTTCACAATCTCATTCCAGGCCTTTTTTCGCGTGGTTTTGGAAAGTACATTTTCACAATTATGTTGCTGTTTGACTAAGTTCTATAGTTTATCCGATGTTTCGATTAGTTTCGTTTGATATATCTGTTATAGTTTATCCGAGATATCGTGAAACTTTCGAATGTGAAAAGAGTGCATCCAATTTTAATCTAGACTAAACATGTTAGGTTCTCTCGATTTCCTCCTTTAAAGGCACAGTTCAGCCTTTTAAATGATGGTTTTTAAAGCGCGTTTCAGCCCTTTTAATTGAAAAAACTAAATAGGAAAATTAATTATACATAATTCAAGGTCAGTAAACTCAATGTTTTTTAACAATAAAAATGTTGTAGAATGTTGAAAACATTAAGTTTGCTGATCTTGAATTATGCTTAATTGATTTTCCTAGTTAGTTTTTTCAATTAAAAGAGTTGAAATGCGCCTTAAACACCATCATTCAAAAGGCTGAACTGTGCCTTTAAGGATGACCAATTGGTCTGTATGGGAGAGGATTGATAAATCTATGTACATCCAGTATAAATAAAGTTGATAGAATCTTGAACGGTCAGTGTAGGCAGTGCCAATAATAAGACGAAGGGCCTTCGCTCGAAAATCGAAGTGCTCCTTGTATTTTTCAGGTAGCTGTTTTCATGGGAGAGCGATTGATAAATCTGTGTACATCCAGTATATATAAAGCTAGTTTAGCTTAGCGTGGTTTAGTTTCCATTTTAGTATAATTAAAAGATTGCACATGTATAGGTTGCTTGGTGATGACGCATTTTATTCTTTAAATTTTCTAACAGAAGTATCGACAGAACTCGACTTAAACCCATTGTTCACATCGCTCCTATCCCTACAAATGAATCTCAACTTGTTCATCTCGTAGCGATTACACAATCAGGTAAGAAACTTGGCGGTTGAAGCGTCACAATAAAATGTCAGATACTTTAAGTACTTTTTGGTTGGTATATTGTTACATTACATTATTACATTATTATTCAGCTAACTCCCCATCGGAGTTTCTCAGCAATCGATCGCATGAAGTATCACGTGACTACGTTATGTTACTTAGACTATACTATTCATCTTTGCAACAGACCTTTCCCCTTTTGAGTGAAATTTTGATCTAGACAAGTCTGGTCAAAAATTTCATCACAGCTTGAAAGAGCATCACAAAATTAGTAATATTCCGAAATTTCGTTGCGAAATGTTGTAAAGTGCGGATAATATAGCCTTGCGAAGTTTACCGTTTTTCAGTCATTTTGTATTACAAATGGGAAATTTATAATCAGTTTGATCATCTGATTATCAATTTCCCGTTTGTAATGCAAAATGACTGAAAAACGGCAAACTTCGCAAGGCTATATTATCCGCATTTTACATCATTTCGCAACGAAATTTCGGAATATTACTAATTTTGTGATGCTCTTCCAAGCTGTGAAGCTTCCAAGCTGTTGTCCAGGCATATCTAGATCAAAATTTCACTCATAAGGGGAAAGATCTATTCATATTTAATTTAGTAATATTATATTTTCCTATTTTACTTTCCTATATAGGTGTACGACTGTACTTTATGACTACAACACCAGAACGTTTTCAAGATCGTCCTTCCAAACTATCGTTAACTCATGTTCGCATGCCACCAGGGTGTGCTCCTTCTGCACGTCCTGAAAGACCGTTCATGGTTCATGCTGCTTACTACAGGCAAGGTAATACCAGAAAAACATCACCTTACGCATGTGGCATTTTTCAACTGCAGTGAACGTATTACAAAGGCCCAAAGGTCTTGAGCTGCACGAGACGAGATCGTACATACAGTTAGTTGTCTATTTTTTAACAGCTACCGTAGTATACTAGTACAGTACGTTTGACATCCAATATTTGGAGATCATGATTTTAAAATGACAATACGTTTCTCCAGTAAGTTATTGTTCTCGATGTTCCCAAGATAAGATGCCAGCTTGGAGCATAATATCACTATAATTTTATTCAACACAAAGTACATTTTCTAGATTATTATATCTTTATTTATACCAAAAGCTCCATTATTAGTAAGGACTATCAGTATTAACAGGTGTCTTCACCTTAAGATGAAATGGAATGCAGCCTTCAAAATGAATTTTTCCTAATCTCATCCACGATTCTATTTTCTAGGCATTGTTTTATTATGTTCGTCACCCAATGAAGAGAATGATGTTTTATGGAGCATCAGTCCCGATATATTTCCTTTTCAAAAAACTTTACAAGAATCATCCGTGAACATTCCTCTGGAGGGGAGGACATGGGCATTGCATGAGGTTCCTGAATCAACATATCCAGTACTACCCTCTCCAGTCCCCGCTATGTGGCCTGATCCGCCTGCAGTTGTTACCCAGCATGCACTGCCTTCAAGGAAATTTGTCGTACTAAGTGCGCAGGTAAATGCATGTCCTGTCATTATAGATACTGCTTGATTTTTAATAAGAACTCCTGTAGATTTTTATGCTAGATTATATTTCGGAATACTTAGCGATTGTCGTTGCGATGCATAGATATGCTGCCTTGTGTTTTTATGATTTGGTCTTTAGTTAATTTCACTTTCAATATTTGCAATCACATTTAATATACAACATTTTCTTGACCTCAAACTAACCCTTATCCCCCCTAACGGCAACCACAATCCTAACACCAGAGTTGTGACTTTATTTTCTGGACATTTATATGGAACGTCACTCTCAAATATCTATTTAGATATGTTGTAAGTGTAAAATGTCAATGATAGTTTAAAGAACTAATAGTTCTTTAAACTTTTTTGTCTTAAAGGTCATTCAATTCCTAAGGTTCGTTTACAAGTGCAATTTTTGCTGCGATTTCTAGTGCGATTTCTTCTTCTGATGATGTGAACGAGTATATTCTAGAGTTATGAATGCTTGGGATATATGTGCCCTCATCTGAACATCCATAGCTCATCCACTCGTTCACATCTATCAGAAGACAAAAACCGCACCTAAAATCGCAGCAAAAATTGCACGTGTAAAAGTAGTACCTTAACAATGCTTTCATTGCTGAAAATTTTGGTTACAGCATTGTTACACAGTTATTCACCTGTAATTCAAAGGCTTTCAGAATTTTTTGGGGGGGAGGGGCGCACTTGGTCACAGCTAAACTCAGTGTTGCTGTATCTATTAAGTAATAACTGCTTCGATTACTAGTTTACCTTTGACTGATTTTCTATTCTTACTTCCCTATAACCTGACAAACACACACGGTCTATACCACTAACTTATGTTATGGTTTAAAAAATCCAGTTAACCTAATTTTTTTCTAATCACCCTAACCCTACCCTGGTTCCAGAGGCTTGAGAGAGGTTCCTAGCTAGGGTTCCTGTTCTGATCTTTCCTTTTCTTCTCAAAAATCCTTTAACAGCCTGAGAACCTCTGGCACCCAGGGTACCCTAACCCTAGAGTAAGAGTTGCCTGAAAAAGAACACCTATACCTCTAACTTGCAAGAATTTTGCCATCATTCAGAGAGTATTACCAATTAAAATATCGTATTTTAGTATCCACTTTGATATTATTATCATCTCTCAGGGCTCTTACTTGTTTAACACCATCCGTCCATTTGAACAACTAAAACAGCTACTACTGGCTAACAATGGTCCAGATTCTGAAGCAGTTCAGGGATTCTTTAGGTTATTGCAGGTTAGTAAGCGTAAGCTGATGTTGTCTGCTGTGTGTCAAATACATTCTATAAACTGCAGTGAACCAATTCTATATCTATATTTTATTTCAGGTTGATCATGCATGCGCAACAGCTCTTGTTCTAGCTTGTTCGACCACAGATCTTGAGGTGGGTAATCATTGGGTAATCCGGCTAGACCTAGAAATTGCCTGAAAAAATACAAAACGAACTTTGACCTTTCGAGCTAATGCCCTACTAGCTTTCAGACGAAGTGCATTCGCTCGAGACTTTCGAAGTTGTTTTTGTATTCTTCAGGTAGTTTAATGTTAGAAGTACTAGTTAAAACATGAGCATCCGATCTTTATCAGTTTATCTGATATACAAACTTGAGCCGAAGGCAAGAGTTCGTGTATCAGATAAAGATCGGATGCGAATGTTTTAATGTACTTAAAAAACGACCCATCTTGTGAGTTCATTGGCAAAGTAATTTTAAAAATAAACATTGTCTAAGCTGAGAAAATCAAAGCTGAAGTTTATGTAAATCAGGACAAATCATTATCCGATTTACAAACATTAATTAAACATTCATTTCTTTTGAATTTTCTTCATGAATTATTAATGAGTTTTTGAATGAATGTTAAAACATTCAAAACAAAATTATAAGCTAAATGTGAGGATTTTGGGATCTCACTGAAGGAAAATGTTGAAGGGTTTTGTAGATGAAAATTACGAGTGTAAATTTTATACATTATTTTAGACCTATCCAGGAATATAGGCCCTCAGGCAGGAATGGAACCTGCGTTCCTGCCATTCCGGTAGAGCGCTCTAACCAACTAAGTTACAGAGTTCAGTTGTGGAGCTCTAACCACAAGTTCATGTTCAGTTGTTGAAGTTTCTCTGTCTTTGATTTTCTATAAATTAAGATTGCAGACTGGGCAACACAAGCGTTCTTCAGGTATGGCAGTGCAACAGTCAGTTATCCTGTTATGACACTGGAAAGTCCTGGCGATATGAGAGGTCAAGGTGGTCAACATATGAGACGACCATATCCAAGCCAAGGTCATGAAACTGGAATATCACCAGATATGAGTTATATTCCACCAACACCTGCTCTTGGTGGGAGTCATGGCGGGAGTTACCTAGCAACACCTGCAGTCAGGCAACACGCGGGGTAAGAACAGGCCATGCGGTATTTCAAACCTGAAAATGCCTCATGTTTTCTAACTTATGCTTTAAGCTATTATTTTTATGTGTTTAAAAACATTCCCTCCTATAGACTTGATCAAACGTTTCTCCATTATTAGGACCGTATTTGACTCTTTATCCATATGACTTAGGATTTGAATGCTGTAGATCAGGGACCTGTTGTATAAGACTCTTAACCTAATGTTTGAATACCAGCTATATAAGCGATACTAATTAGAATTAGATGTAATAATAAAAATAACTTTATTCAAACAGAAATAACAATGATGCTTGTGATGTTACCCTGAGTGTATATCCACACCGGGCAAGCTTGAAAAATATGCCTGGCCACGGTGGGAATCGAACCTACGACCTTCGGAATACTAGCCCAATACTCTGCCAACTAAGCTACGCGGTCAGGACGGTTCGACCCGACCTGACCACGTAGCTCAGTTGGTAGAGTATTGGGCTAGTATTCCAAAGGTACAAGGTTCGATTCCAACCGTGGCCAGGCATATTTCTCAAGCTTGCCCGGTATGGATATACACTCAGAGTAACATCACAAGCATCATATTCACCTGAGTAGTCATAACACCAATATTGACAGAAATACCAATATTGCTGCATTGAATACAGAACATTGTCATGCGAATGATGTTGATGTGTTGCATTACGAATCGTCGTTGATAGTTGTCCCTTATGCGTTGCAAGAGGATTTTTGTTTGCATATGTAAGAGTTAAATACCGAGAAGGAGGGCTTTATGCTATATACAGCCCCGAGAACGCGAAGCGTTCGAGGGCTTTATATAGCATAAAGCCCGACATTCGAGGTATTTAACTGACTTATTTCATGATTGAAGAGGTTTTCTAACAAAGTTTTATTCTTTTTTTTCGATTTCGACAAGTATTTTTCTAGTTTTCTCCCTTATTTCTTGACTAATTAGGGCTTTATGGTATTCAAGGGCATTATGCTATATACAGCCCGCGGTACATCAAAGAAAACCGAGTCAATCATGAAATATGCTATATTATTTTACAGTTTGTAACATGGACGGATTTTCAGATTTTGTTCGGGGAGGGGGAGAGGGGGTGCCGAAAATTTAGGGAGGATTGAGCGATGGGGTGCATAGCACTGCCGAACAAGCTGCAGCAGGGGCCTGGGGGCACAGTTGAGGGGGCAATTTCTCTAAGTGGGGTGGACCTCCACCACCAGAAAATCTGTCTATGGTTTGTAATGATTAGACCTAACTGTATACTTTTACCTTCAGCTCTGTTCAAAATCCTCCATTACAATCCACTCCCTATCCATCTGCCGTGGGATCTAGTGTTGTTCAAGCTGAAACTCTCAAGTCAGGAAGACTGGCTGGATTATATCTTTACTTGTCAAGAATATTAGGGTAGGCATTTCACTATAAATTATGTTAGTGTAGTTTAAAACGTTCTTTCTTTTTCAATGACATGCATGAAACCTGCAGGTTCCTCATCTGCTCAACAGAAATTAGCTAGCGTACAATCTAAGATATCTGTGTTCGTCTACACTCGGGTTGCAGTAACTCGGTTTTCAGACTTGACCTCATTGAGTATTTGTTTTATTATGAAGTCTAGATTTACTCGTATATTACCATGCCTTTATAGGCCCAAAACTTGAATTGAAAGTATCTTCTAACCTTTTTACAAATATTCTAAATTTTATTAGAAAATGGGATTTCTGGCATATTATTCCCGAAAGTATCTTAGTATATCCGGAATTGCATGGTTGTTCACCAGATGCCATCTTTTCACAAGTATATGTTCGTGACTAGTCCCTTCGCAGACGTTCTTATTGCTCCAACCCTCGCTAACGAACGTCTGCTGTTCTGAACTGAACTGAACTGAACTGAGCTGTACATTCCATTCCCTCGAATCGACCAATCACAGCAAACCTTCTAAATTGCGGGAAGTGAAATTATTCTATATTAATATGCAGAAATGCACGAATTAATAAAAGAATGATTTTGATTGGCTTTTGCTTTATGAATCACTGCAATATGATTGGCGCCTGAAACAAAGGGAATGGAATGTAGCAATAAAAACGTCTGCGAAGGAGACTAGTTCGTGGCTAGAACTTCAGTTGACATTTACGTACAGGATGGTTTTGCACTCTATATGTTTTGTTGTGATTTTCCAGACCATTGTGGGATAAAAGATTAGTAACACAAGAGTACCGTGTTTTACCTGAGCCTCCGAACAATTGGGTAAGTGGCTTTCCTACACATAAAAAATTCCGGTTTTTCACTTTGACTATAGATTTCTCCCAGTCGTTAATAACAGTGTGTTTTAATAACACAGCTTGTGTACGCGTATTTTTGAAAGTTATGGAAAGTTTTGATAGGTGTTGGGTGTATTTTCCATTGGAAAATATAACTTTGGTTCTGTTGAGTAAGGCTGGAAGTCATACTATTTTGTATAGCTCGCTGTTACTTTTAGCGGTACAACGAACGCTTAATTAAGCCGGTTATTGTTGAGTGCCCTCGGTTAGGTGTACAAATTATTTTGTTTCTAGTCAGCGCGCGGGTCATTATGAACTGTGCGCGTCAATGTTTTTCTATTATTACAATCAATAAGAATGGTTTCAGATCCAGGGATGGATTTAATGGGGGTGCAGGTGTGCATCTCTCCTAGATTTGGCAAGTGGGGGGAGGGGGTAAGGGGTACCAATGCTTTGTTTGCATGTGTTTGGGATAGCAATTACAAAATCAAAAATGAAATAGAGATTATAAAATGTTTGTGAAATTGTCAAGCAACATTACAGATTAGCGCCTGTGACTAGTGATTACGCACTTTGTCAACGGTCGCACTCAGAACCATGTCTGATTCTCGATGAGCAACCCCCTACCAGATCTTGCTGGAATGCTGGATCCAACCCTGTTCAGATCCCACCTGAAAAGTATACATGAAACATATCTGAACATCTCAATCGGACCTTAGGCCAGAGGAGACCTTGAGTTTGATTACTGTTCGGAACATTTAGAAAGAATTTTTCCAGAAAATAATTCTACTGTATTTAGACATCACAATTTTACGCTGCGTAGGACAAATAGCTATACCTCCCGCGCAATCACGTAATATGTGTATATTTAGGTTTGATATCCCGCGTTGAGTATATATATACACACGAGTGTATCCCAGTAGTTCAGTGCAGTTCAATGCGCTGGGATCGATTCATGTGTGGGACATTCAGGAATTACTATGGTTTCCAGATTGTCAAGATACTGTTCATGGTATAACTACTGTGTTCCATTCTTTTAGATTTACAGTCGTTTAACAAGTGAACAAATTGGTTGGTTTGTTGAACAACTTCAAAATCTTGAGAAGTGGCTTGACACTAACATGACTCATTTCGCTGGAGTTCGTTCACCTCTTGGGTCTCATATACAACGACGTCCTGGTACTCCACTACAGACCAGTCAACTGGGTGGGTCTTTTAAAAATTTGAAGCAAATGTTTGCAGTGGATACCTATTTCTTATTATAACTATATATATAACCTTATTAAACAAAATTCCAAATAAGAATGTCTTGTAAACTTAGTGTAGGATTTGATAAGAACAAGACAAAATTAATGGATAATGAGATTGCCTTACAATTTAAGAGGAAAATGTGGGTTTTTTGCGTATAACACTCGCACTTGGTTAATATGCACTATTTTAAATTTTTTAAATTTTTGATACGTTTGTCAAGTGGCAAACAAACTTAAAAAGTACAGTATGTTTAGTACTTTATCTGTAAAATTAAAGTGAAGAGATTTTAGATGTTACGCCAAATTGAGAATGATGTCTGAAGTTCAGTAAGTTTTGCTTATATTGCTGTATAAACATGGCGTTAATTTTACAGTATCGATGATAATTGTATTTAAATTGACAATATTTAACTATTATTTTGTGTTTCTTAACCGCCAGATGCATTGAAGAAGGTTGCTAACTGTGCTAAACTACAACTTGGGTGGGAGCTCCCCCCAAATTTCAGGGGTTTTTTTGGTGGGGGGATTCCCTCTCCTATGGTCACAAACCCAGACATCATTTCCTACGCTCACTTATTTCCAAGTGAGGGGATAGAAATGATGTCTGGGTTCACCAACTGCGCCTCTAAGTGATTACCATTTTTATACTCAAGGTTATATTCCTTACCACTTACCAGTTTAATATTAATGATGATATTCATATTCCATTTTGGGCGGAAATGCTCCCCCCAGAATTTAGCTATTTTCAGATTTGGGGGAGGAATTCGGGATTTTTTGGGGGGGAAATCCCCCCGCAAAATACGCCTGTATGGGTCTTGTTTCACCATCCGGGATCAAATTTCACAATCCTGGTTCAAATTTCACAATCCGGGATCAAAGTTTTTATGGGTCTTGTTTTCACAGTTTCTACGTGATTTATCTAGGGGCTACTGCCCTACCTTTGGCATTTCTGTTGACTGTAACACCTGTCTTTTAACTGCTCCAGGTCCCGGTAATTCCGAGGCAGACACCGTAAATTCACTACGACATTTGATCAGACGTAGTCGTGAGGTATTGTCATTATGGCAGATCCTTGATGATAATGAATTTCATCTTGTGGTAGAACGGTTGTCACAGGCAAGTAAAACATTTAATACTTATTCACCGAGGGAAACAGTACAGTACATGTATGTTTTGTGGACCCGAGACCTTAGTCGAGCGTCTAAAAAACCCAGGGGAGAGTCGAATTTCTTGATTTGCATGTGATACCTTCTCGTTCAATGAGACGCAAGCATACATGAACTTTGTCACTTGGTGTATAATAAAATGATTGAATTTTAGATAGTAAACTTCAGATACACTTTTTGATGGTAAAGACCCTTAAATATAATATGAGTAATTGGAATAATATGAGTAATTGGAATAATATGAGTAATTGGAACTATTGGCATGCATGCGTCTTTCACACTCCACATAAAACTGATCACGTGACAAACTAATTATATGTACAGATGAACGTATGGGATTAGATCTGAAAACCAATCCGAACGCTATGTTTATTAAGCCATCATATAGTAACGTGAAATAGGAATTTAACTGTTAGGTAACTGGATACTTTTCTTGAATACAGGAATCACGTGACCGCCTGAGCTTTCTAAAATTCCGTGACTTTGTGATCGCAGGCAATGTGGTAAGTGTGTTATGTATGGTTGTCGTACGACCCGGAATATCGCATTGTTTCTTCGTCTGTCCTAGCGAAAACATTTCTTGAAACATTGCTTCTTGTGCATCTTTCCCAGAATATTTCCCAATTTGTTTGGAAAAATGTTTGCTTCCTGGGTGAATCCGAGAAGCTTCCTGAGTTCCTGGGTGATTCCAGGAAGTTTCCCGAGTTCCTGGGTGATTCCGGGAAGCTTCCTGAGTTCCTGTGTGATTCCGGGAAACTTCCTGAGTTCCTGTGTGATTCCGGAAGCTTCCTGTGTGATTCCGGGAAGCTTCCTGAGTTCCTGGGTGATTCCGGGAAGCAAAATTTGTTTCCGCAACAATGTGCCCTGGGTTTAATAAACTGGAAACATTCGAGAAAACATCGGAATTTTTACATGTTTCTATAACAGTGTTTTACCTCTGGTTTTACCCAAGGCTTCAAACTTTCTAATTCCTTGCTTGAATTGTAGGCGTGCAACCAACTTATTGCGTCACTAATGACGTGTTTCCTGGATGACAATGCAACAACAGATACCATCAGTAATCAATTGAGAGATCTATGTCCAACCATTTATACAACAGACGATGCTGTTTGTACCAAGGTGAGGCCAGTAATCACAACATATTCTGTCAGAAGATGACATTGAAATAAAGTCCATAATTTACAGTCTCAAAAACTTTAAATTCACAAATAATTCACATCTTAAACATGCGCGTAGCCTTTTGTTCGGGTTCTGATTCTTTTGCACTGCATGTGTGGTTTCCGCATTGCAAATTACCAAATAAAGTTAAATTATCTTTTTTCTTCTTCTTCGTTATTCTTCCAATTTACTCCAAATTCTGCTCGAGTGATGTGGTTTGTTTAGCGAACTTTTATCGCAGCGAGCATTCAACAGAAAAGGCTTTAATCTTGTATGAAAAGCAAAAGCAATTTTCTTGCAATTTATCGATTTGATTCTTCATAAAGCAATCCTTGGTGTGAAACATAAAGCCGACATATTAGAAAGATATCATCTCAGCATCAAAACCACATTGTAATTTACCATTGCAAGAAGGATGACATGAACTATTGTTGATTTGAAACACATATATACCATATTCTTTGATGGAATATTACTACCCATTACCACTCCGAGTTGTCAACACGACTTATAACAACAACACTCGTAATTTTTCCGAAATGTTATGTGAGATTATGCAAAGGCGTTGGCAAGATATTTTCAAGGTTGTGATTTATGCACTATTATACACAAAGCAATTAAACCTGTGTTATTTGTGTTCGGTAATCGGTACACTATCTAGATATGTATGAATAGGTCTTGCACTGTTAAAATTACTATTTGTATTTTTAAAGGCAAATGAATTGCTGGATACAGCAAAAAAAGCAACAGATAAATATGAAAAAGAGAGAACGTTGCAAGAAGCTACAAGGGTATGTTTTAAATAAAATTTATTCTGTGTAATTGATTGACTTCATCTCTTACCAACGTTATCCCATATAAAGTACATGCTTGATTATTAATTTATCCACAGTAGTTTAGTTAATCCCAGCACTAAGCATAGTTGGTGTTAATAGTTGCCGAATCTTTTTATCTTAGCTTTACCGTCAAGTAGCGGACCAGATTGACCTGCCATACATATGTGGGCAGTATGAAGAATGTAAGTGTAGTTCTAGAAAAAAATCATTTTGTCTATGACACATGACTGGTTGGCTATATGACACATGACTATAATTGGTCATAGTTTGGTTAAAAAATTGGTACTTGTTAAAGGAAAAGGGACCTAAGAAAAATGTTGAATAGGAAGAAACGAAATTAAACCATACGATGCAGTGTTTCAGAAAATACGAGAAAAACAGTAGGAAGGTTAAAATAAATTGTTAAATTGGTACTTATTTTGGGTTGGTCCAGGCACTAATATTCATGAGAAAGCTTTGGATTGATAGGGATACAACTACCTGAAAAATACAAGGAGAACTTTGACATTTCGAGCAAAGGCCCTTCGTTGGCACTACCTACACTGGCACAGATCATTCAAAATTAATATTCATGTCAAATTATCAACAAACTGCACATAGCTTATAGACAATGACTGTGTCAGAGTTTTCTGCCAAATGGGATGCAGATTCTTCGTTGGCACTACCTACACTGGCACAGATCATTCAAAATTAATATTCATGTCAAATTGTCAACAAACTGCACATAGCTTATAGACAATGACTGTATTAGAGTCTTCTGCCAAATGGGATGCAGATTCTTCGTTGGCGATTGATAAAAAAAGCTGAGCCGGAACTGCAATATGTCTCCACCAACCCAGTCCGTAAATAATTTCATTTGCCCATATGGAAAAGTTAATGTTTACAATCTTCAAAGTATACAATACGACGGCTAGAAGCCTTCATGAAACCCTTTCAGGGTTTAAGGGTTTTTGGTCAAAGGCCCCTAGGTCTATAATATTTTTACAATTGTTTTATACAGTAAGGTAATCATGTAATGTCGAAAGAATGTAGGAATATTTACAAATACAATTATAAAGTAAGGAAAATTTTAAACTAAAAGTAATAATGAGCTAATTATTAGCGTATTATGTTTGCGATGTTACTCTGAGTGCATATCCACACCGGGCGAGCTTGAAAAATATGCCCGGCCACGGTGGGATTCGAACCTACGACCTTTGGAATACTAGCCCAATGCTCTTCCAACTGAGCTACGCGGTCAGGACGGTTCGAGTAAGTGATATTTCGGAACAGTATCTAATTCCTTCAATACCAATGTGTTCTATTAATATGAATTTTTTTTTTTTTTTTTTAAAAAAAAA